TTACACCTCTATCTATAAAAGGGATGGTGAGTGCTCGCAAGCATATATAGATCTCTATTAAATTCAAGCACAAGGTTCCATACCACAATAGGAAGGTTGGGATTTATTTTGGGGGTTAGTGTTGTAGCTGTTTAGTAATTATAAGGGCCAAAATTAAAAGGGGTCAAAAAGCATTTTTTCATGTTTCAGGACAATAATTTGTGTATTAGAGTATCAGACTATGAATTTTTACTACAAGGTTACATACTTCAAAAGGAAAGTTGGGATTGATTTTAGGGGTCATGGTCCAAACCGTTTAATAATAAGGGGCTGAAAAGGAGCCAAAAAACTAGGATTTTCTGATTTCTGCACAATAACTTGAGTATAAGTCTATTTATTGCTATTTAATTGTGCCACAAGGTGTTATACCATAAAATAAAGATTGGGATTGATTTTAGGGGTTATGACTTTATTGGTTTAGTTAAGAGGGTCCAAAACCAATACTTTGTATAATTGCTTATTTCTTTAGCAATTTCAATGGGGTTAAACTCAAACGTCTTGAATTATTGGGAGTCTTTAATTTGCTGAATCTAATTTAATGGGGTATTTAGAATTTGAATTTTAGGGTCTGTTTTTAAATGATCCATATTAAGGTCCAAAGGGTCCAAAATTAAACTGTTTGATTTCTTTAAAAATTAAATTATTGGTGTTCCTTGATATGCTGAATATGATTGCGTATTTAGATTTTTTAATTATATGGCCTGTCTTCAAATTGGTCCACATTAAGGTCCAAAGGGTCCAAAATACATGTACAACTTTTTTTATTTAAATAAAGAATTGAATTCTTGGGGTTCTTTGATATGCTGAATCTAAGCGTGTATTTAGATTTTTTATTTGGTGCATGGTCGGTCCACATTAAGATCCAAAGGGTCAAAAATTAAACTTTATTTGATTTAATAAAAACAAATGAATGGTTGGGATTCTTTGATATGCTGAACTAAGCGTGTATTTAGATTTTTGATTTTGGGCACAGTATTCAAGTTTGTCCAAATTGGGGTCCAAAATTGAACTTTGTTTGATTTCATGAAGAATTTAATTGTTGGTGTTATTTGATATGGTCATTCCAACAGTGTTTTAGATTTTTGATTTTGTGCTTGGTTTTCAAAGTTGGTCCAAATTGAGGTCCAAAATTAAACTTTGTTTGATTTCTTCAAAAATTAAATTATTGGTGTTCTTTAATGTATGCAATCCAACAGAGTGTTTTAATTTTTGATTTTGGGCCCGTCTTTCAAACTGAAGGGTTCAAAGTATCCAAAATAAAACTTAGTTTGATTGTAACAAAAATCGAATTCTTGTGGTTATTTGATATGCTGAATCTAAGCATATACCGGGTAATTAGATTTTTGTTTTTAGGCACAGTTTTCAAGTTGGTTGAAATTGCGGTCCAAAATTAAACTTTGTTTGATTTTAACCAAAAAAAATAATATATCGGGTTCTTTAATATGCTGAATTTAAGTGTGTATTTAGATTTTGGATTTGGGTGCTGTTATCAAATTGGTTCACATTGAGGTCCAAAAAATCCAAAATAAAACTTTGTTGGATTTCTTCAAAAATTGAATTCTTGGGGTTTTGGTTCTTTGATATGTTGATTCCAACCATGTATTTAGAATTAGGATATTGGACCATAATTTTTTTTTACAATACTTTTCTAATTACTTTGTATAAATTGCTTATTTCTTGACTTCAATGTGGTTTAATTCAAAATCTTGAATTCATGTGGTTTTATGTGGTGATATGCTGTATCTAAACGTGTATTTAGATTTAAGATTTTGGGCTCCCTATTTGAATTGGTGCAAGGGTCCAAAATGAAACTTTGTTTGGTTTCATCAAATATTGAACTATTGGTATTCTTTGATATGCCGAATCTAAGCATGTATTTAAATTTTAATGTTGGGGCGTTCTTTCAAATTGGTCCACATTAAGGCCTAAAGGGTCCAAAATTATACTTTGTTTGATTTTAAAAAAAAATTGAATTCGTTGGGTTCTTTGACATGCTGAATCTAATTGTGTATTTTAAATTTTTGATTTTGGGACCGGTTTTCAAATTGGTCTACATAGTCCAAAATTAAAATTATTTTGATTTTATGAAAAAATGAATACAAGGGGTCCTTTGCTAAACTGAATCTAAGCATGTATTTAGATTTTTGATTTCGGGCCAAGTTTTCAGTTGGTCTAAATCGGGATCCAAAATTAAACTTTGTTTGATTTCAGCAAAAATTGGATGTATGTGTGGTTCTTTGATATGCTGAATCAAACAATGTATTTAAATTTTGGATTTTGGGCCTCTTATCAAATTGGTCCACATTGATGTCAAAAGTGTCATAAATTAAACTTTGTTTGAATTAAAATAAAATGCTCCGCAGGGCGCAGCTTGATACGACCGCAGAGGTCGAACCCTGAACAGTTGGGGCAAGTATGGACACAACATTCAAGCTTGATACAGCTCTGAATTTGGATTGTGATTAAATATTTGACACAGCATAGGTTTCTGACACAGAATGAATGTGGTCTAAGAACTTAAAAATTTTAAATTGGACATTCACCTATTATGGTCCAATATCCAAAATCTAAATACATGGTTAGATTCAGCATATCAAAGAACCCCAAGAATTCAATTTTTGATGAAATCAAAACAAAGTTTAATTTTGGACCCTTTTGACCTCAATGTGGACAAAGTTGATAACGGGGCCCAAAAATCAAAAATCTAAATACATGGTTAGATTCAGCATATCAAAGAACCCCATATATTCAATTTTTGTTGAAATCAAACAAAGTTTAATTTTGGACCCCGATTTGGACCAACTTGAAAACTGGGCCCATAATCAAAAATCTAAATACATGTTTAGATTCAGCATATCAAACAACCCTAAAAATTCAATTTTTGTTAAAATCAAACTAAGTTTAATTTTGGACCCTTTGGACCTTAATGTAGACCAATTTGAAAACGGAACCAAAAATTAAGAATCTAAATACAAGGTTAGATTCGGCATATCAAAGAACCCCAATAATTCAATTTTTGATGAAATCAAAGAAAGTTAAATTTTGGACCCTTTGGACCTCAATGTGGACCAATTTAAAAACAGGGCCCAAAATCCAAAAACTTAATACACGGTTAGATTCAGCATATTAAAGAACCCCAAGAATTCAAGAATAAAACCCCATTGAAATTGATCAAGAAATAAGCAATTTATAGGAAGTATCTTCTTTTGCACAATACTGTGCAATTGAATATTTCTTGCTATTGCGCAATACTGTACAATTGACAATTTCTTGCTATTGCCCAATATTGTGCTATTGGATATTTCTTGCTATTGCGCAATACTGTGCAATTGAAGATTTCTTGCTATTGCGCAATACTGTGCAATTGAAGATTTCTTGCTATTGTGCAATACTGTGCAATTGAAAATTTCTTGCTATTGCACAATACTTATTATATAATAATTTACACATCCTGTTTGGTGTGCATCTCCTACCATATCATTATTATTTGCTTTTAAATATAAATCAGAAATAACCAACTTAAAATGGAAAATTTTAAAAGAAAAAAAAAAGGAAAAAAAGAAAAAAAAAAAATCCCCCCCCCCAAATTTTTTGAACCCCTTATGATTCATCACCCCCAAACTCAATCCCAGCCTTCCCTTTGTGGTATGGTACCTTGCAGTACAATTTCAGAGAGATCCATACACTTGAACACAAGTTATTGTCTGGAAACTAGAAAAAATGCTTATTTTTGGCCCGTTTTTGGCCCTCAATTCCTAAACGTTTCGGGCAATTACCCCCAAACTCAATTCCAGCTTTCCCTTTGTGATATGGAACCTTGTAGTACAATTTCAGAAATATCCAAACACTTACACACAAGTTATTGTCATGAAACTAGAAAAATGCTTGTTTTTTGCCCCTTTTTTTGGCCCCTAATTCCTAAAATTTTGAGGCAATTACCCCCAAAATCAATTACAGCATTCCCTTTGTGATATGGAACCTTGTGGTACAATGTCAGAGAGATCCATACACTTACACACAAGTTATTGTCTGGAAGTTACAAAATGCTTATTTTTGGCCCCTTTTTGGCCCCTAATTCCTTAACTGTTGGTACCATAACCCCCAAAATCAATCCCAACCTTCCTTTCGTGGTCTTGAACCTTATGGTAAAATTTCATGGAGATCCATTCACTTAAACTAAAGTTAGAGTGCGAAAACCAATGTGTCTTCGGACGACGCCGGACGACGCCAGACGACGACGACGACGACGACGACGACGACGACGCCAACGTCATACCAATATACGACCAAAAAAATTTTAATTTTTGCGGTCGTATAAAAAATGAATTCTTGGGATTCTTTGATATGCTGAATCTTACCGTGTATTTAGATTTTGGAAATTGGGCCATGGAAGGTAAAAGTCTAATTTCAAATTTTTCAATTTTTCGACCACATTCATTCTGTGTCAGAAACCTATGCTATGTCAAATATTTAATCAAAATCCAAATCCAGAGCTGTATCAAGCTTGAATGTAGTGTCCATACTTGCCCCAACTGTTCAGGGACCTCTGTGGTCGTATCAAGCTGCGCCCATCTGTGGTAGTATATCAGGCTGTTGTTTTCACATTTGAACTATTTCACATTTTGTCTACGGGTACTTTTGTAGCTTTTTATATGGTACATGTATAGGTTTTGTAACTTGTCATATGCCTTTACGTGACCTGTAATTGTGAACATATTTGTACTTTATCCTTTGGCCTTACTTGCCTCACTAGCAATCGTACCAAATATCTATTTTTGAAACGCGCGTCTGGCGTACAAAATTATAAGCCTGTTATCTTTGACTAGTTGTTTTACTATAACAGAAATAAATCAACTCGAAATGTTAATGTAATGTTTACTTGTTGATCCTTGTTCGATACTTAGATGCAGGTATTGTAAGGTCGAATTAATCAAACATTCGGAGAAAGGCTAAAACTCAAATGATAATAAGTGTTTTAATGAACATAGAATTATATACACTTTTAGAAAATTATTCAAATTAAGCACAATTACAACCATTGAATATATTATGTATGACAAATGTTGAATAACTTGAATCATCTTGTATTTTTCTAAAACATATTTATAAATCATAAAATTAGAATATGTGCAGTTTTTAATGTTTCAGTATTTCAAGAACAGGGATATAGCAACAAGCCCATGTCAAATATGAAGCTTAATTCACCGTGTTAGTGTTGGTTAGAGACAAAAAACCTAGCAAGTTATTCTTAATTTACAACGATTTTTCCAGTGGTCCTAATCAAAAGGTTTAATTCGGACTGAAGAAATCGTCGAAAAGTATTAGCAGAAATTCTAAATAAAAAGGTGACTTCACATTTAAAATTCAATGGACGAGACTTTTGCGAAACGAAATGTTCTTGCGGACGCTTATATATAATTAATCAACAAAGAAATATATTTTCCTTTACAAGAGTTTTATTTCACATGAAAGGTTTTTGAAATAAAAAAATAAATGGAGAATGATGCCCTCGCTTGCATATAACGTTATAAAGGGACATAACTCAAGAACGGTAAAAGTGACGCTACCCAAATTCATACTTGATCTGAATTTTGTGGTAATAAGCATTGTGTAATAGTTTCATCACATTTGGTTGAGGCAAACTTAAGTTAGAGAACAGAGTATAAAAATTCAGCAATTTGTCCTTTTGTAAAGGAGCATAACTCTTGAACAGTAAAAGTGACGCCACCAAAATTCGAACTTGATCTGTGTTTTGTGATAATAAGCATTGTATATAAGATTCATAACATTTGGTTGAAGCAAAGTAAAATTAGAGAACGGAAACAACAAATTCAGCAATTTTTTCCATTTTTAAAGGGACATAACTCTAGAAAGGTAAAAGTGACGCTACCCAAAATTCGTACTTGATCTGAATTTCGTGGTAATAAGCATTGTGTATAAGTTTCATAACATTTGGTCGAAGCAATCTTAAGTTAGAGAACGGAAACGAAAAATTCAGCAATTTTTCCATTTGTAAAGGGCATAACTCTAGAACAGTAAAAATGACATCACCAAAATGCAAACTTTGTCTGTGTTTTGTGGTAATACGCATTGTGTATAAGTTTCATAACATTTGGTTGAGGCAAACTAAAGTTAGAGAACGGAAACCAATTTGTGGGACGTACAGACGGACAAGGGTAAAACTTCATGCCCCCTCTGCTACGGCGGGGGCATAAAAACATATTGTTCAATTCATTATTTCTTTAAGCACATTATGCTTATTAGTACAAGAATAAATACTAATACATTTTTATAAGTTAAACCTAAAATGGCATACTACATCAGAGAAGCAAATAAACATCAAGTATTGTCCACTAACAGTTCTGTCCTATGATTAAGTGCATTAAATAGGAATTTACACAAATTACGCAAATCGTTGACATTTTCAGTGATGAAAAGTTGAACTCATTTGAACGACGATGGACGTCTATAATAAAAAGGTTTAATAAACTGTCTCCTTATATCTCTATAGCATTAACATTGCAATACAAAATGGAATTCATCTTCAATGGTATTCAAAGTACAAAGAGCACATTTTTCTGTCTAACCTTTTTACTCCATGATTACGTCCTTCTTCAACAAACAAATTATGTGAAGACAATCTGGGACGAGTTAAATACACTCTAAATTTCATATGTTTAATGAGATAATTCTGTAAACTTACATAATGGACAATATCTTAAATAACACTTATATGAAATGTTCATTTGATCATTTAAAGTCTGTTTTGCTTGATCATATATTCTTGTTTTTACAATCAATAATACATTACTATCAATAATCAAATTGTCTTGGTTATATCAAATCTCATTTAAACCTAAGTTAAATAATAATTGTTGACATTGATAAATCCAACTGATTCGATTATTACAAAAATTATACAGTTGTTCCCTATAGCCGTTCTTAAGAATACAGTTGCTTGTGGATAATAATTCTAACAAGTACTTCACTATTTTATACATTCTAAAATATATTAATTGATATCGACCCAATTCAAAATAGACCATAACATTTGTTGTACACTGTTTGACACTTAAAATATTTTTGCAAAAATCTAGTTGTACTTTTTCAATATTTGGAGCTTTATGGAAGCTATATATATAACAACCATAACATAGTATACTACTTTTATAAGTATCAAACAAATTCAAATATGTAAAAACATTCACATATAATGATGAAACCGTCGACTTTAAACCAAATACAGCTTTTCTACTTTGCTCAGCTAAATGTCTCTGAGTTTTAGCAAATTCATCGTTAAAATTTAACAGTACACCAGGTAACAAAATTCATCAACTATGTCAATAGCATTGCCATCATAATACCAGATTTTTTCGTCTTTCACAAAACCTCCGTTTCTAAATACCATAATTTTTGTTTTGGAGATATTTACAGTCAAACCCCATTTACAAGTATATAAGAAAAGTCTAACATAACTTGCAAGCCAATAACTGAATCAGAAAATATAATCATGTCAACAGCGTACATAAGTAAAAATAACGATAAGTCTTGTACTACATTTACGTAGGAATTCCATTTCAAAGTCACTGACACATAATGAAAAAAGTATGGGAGAAAGAACTTCCCCTTGCATAAGACCAACTGAACTTGTAAACTGCTCAGAATAAAAACCATCAATTTTCACACATACTTTTACTGTGGAGTACATTGATTTTAAAACAGACAGCAATTTAAATGCCTGTTATACCAACTCTTGACAGTTTCTACCATAAGTTAAGTCTGGATACGGAGTCAAATGCCTGTTTGTAGTCAACGAAGCAGCAATATAAACGTTTTTTCTTAAAAATTGCCTTCTGATTTATTATAAATACAAAGAACTATTTTAATTACAAATGACTTTTGAATTTTAATTTTGTCATCATACAGTGACAGGAGGAAAGTGAGAGGTTTATGGGGAAAAAAACTATGTGAAGATTGTTTATTCTTCAATGTTCTATTAAGTTTATAATAAATCTTTGGAATGTATGTAATAACGGAATGTCGTATTTATGGCTTTACCTTAAATATATGTAACAAAACACGTGTTTGTTTCAATCATCAATCAATCAATCAATCAATCAATCAAAAATCGTCCTTTAAGCTTTGTTTATCCTATGCAAAATGACAGTATTGCCGCCCTTTGTTCAAAATATATATGTAACTTTTAGCACGAAGTTAAAAACAAACAACATAATTGATATACACAAAAAAATGTAATTATATTTACAAAATAAATAAACATTTTAAGTAAAGAATTACATTAATTATGAAATTAATTTGTAAATGACGTCACTGGTACGTTACAATTGATATTTTTCAACTGAGTACCAAGTGATCAAGAGTGTTACAGTTTGTTATTCAGTGATTTTAATTGGTTAACAACGTCGTGTAAAGTAATAATATAAATAACTTTGATGTAAACCGGAAGTTCTAAAGATACTTAGGTTTGTATGTATACTTCATGAAATACAAATTTGCATATAAACAATAATAAATTTACATATGCACTTATATATACACAGATACATTACATTACATTTGTACAAAAATAAATAACTGAAAGGCATGTTCGCACAGTTTTAAGAACTGTGGCAATACCTTTTGATCTGATGTCCTTCAAAACGTAACAATTTAAATGTGTTCAAATATCGTGCCTTGAAAATGGCATTTAAGAGATTTATGTTAATCTATGTGAATGATAAAGCACCAAAGTTTGTTGCAGTTTGTACGTTAAAAATAATACTCAGCGATTCTTAATCCTTTCTTGGAAGCGTCGGTTTTAAGAAGTGAGTAAAATAAATTTTCTGAATTTCACCATTCATCTGCTTTTATAAATTGTTTGTTTAAAATCTCTATGAAGCTTCATTAAAAATTCAAACAGAAAAATAACAATGAGTTCCATTGGACTTAAAAATGAATTCAAAGTTTTTGTGAAAATGAAAACTCATATCTGTCATTTCCTAACGTCGAAAGAATCAGTACATAAAATTGTTATTCACAGAAATAAAATATATAAAAATGGAAAAGCTTGTCAGTAAATCTAAATATAAATTGAGGAAACCTTTACGTCCACATTACTGATATTTGTAAATTAGTTTTCCTATTTGTTATGACAATTGATATAAGAAGATGTGGTATGAGTGCCAATGAGACAACTCTCCATCCAAGTCAAAATTTATAAAAGTAAACAATTATAGGTCAAAGTACGGTCTTCAACACGGAGCCTTGGCTCACACCGAACAGCAAGCTATAAAGGGCCCCAAAAATTACTAGTGTAAAACCATTCAAACGGGAAAACCAATATATAAAAAACGAGAAACGAGAAACACTTATGAACCACATTAACAAACGACAACTACTGAAAATCAGATTCCTGACTTAGGACAGGTGCAAACAATTGCAGCGGGTTTAAACGTTTTAATGGTACCAAACTTTCACCCTTATCTGAAACAATAGTGCGACATCACAACATAGAAAGACACACTATAAAATATCAATTGAAATGGCTTAACTCAATCAAGACATATTAACACCAGTGAACATACACTGAACAAATAAATTTGATCTATTCACGTATTCCCTTTGAAATGTATTGGAAACCATGGGGAGTATTGATAAGAATATCAGCGAGGGGTGGAAAGGGGTAGAGGGACATGTAAATGAGTGGACGGGAAGCGAAAGTCAGGGACAGAACCGGGGGAAGAGGGGGGGGGGGTAAAAAAGGGATATACTGCCAAATTCTTTTTTGGCCGATTTTCGTCTGGGAGTAAGGGGAGGGAATTGGGAGTAGGGTGAGGGAAGTGGGATGTGGAGTAGGGAACTTGAAATCAGGGACCCCTGTGCATCCTTCATCAGCTGAAAGGGAATATCATTCAACTCCATTAACCATCGAACAAAGTACTTATCTAGATTACACCTATATCAGTGTACAAGGCGACATTAATGGTTGCAGAATATTCATTTTCATCCTATCATTCGAAAAATTATGCATTTTCAACTCTTACCATGCAAGAATGATCATTTTCAAAATACTCCTCCCTTCACCACCCTCCCACACCCAGAAAATCAAATGATGTTTCCCTTAGTCAATACTGTGCGCTGAAGCTGTGAATTACATACATTTAGGTTGTTACGTTTAGATGACATCAATATATTCATAACTATATGTGTGTACTACTTTGAATTTTGTCAAGTCATTTTTAAATTAGGAAAAATTCTAAGAACTGTAGAAACCATAAATGACTTAACAAATAAAATAATTAAGCAATTAAATGTCTCCCATAATAAGGTTTCACAATAACATTTATTTATACAGGCATACAAATAGATTATTTCAAATGTCAAAGATACCAAATGGAAAGCACTTTTGTTCTCTGTTTCTCAAAATTCTGAATATGCAAATGTCTATTTCATACACTTGAAGTAAATGGCGAGTACAAAAAAAATGAAGTATGCAGAAATATGATGGCAATTGTATGGATTTTACTTGACTTCCTTAAAAAATATCTCAGTTTACGAGACAACAGTGCTTTGAAGAAAAATAGTTTAATGCTAAGCAACAAGGTGTGTCAATTTCAACATAAAGGGTACAACATTCGTGACCTTACTGTTAGATGCATTTGGTATAGTTGATTTGTGATTAACCCTAAAGGTCTACTTCTAAAAACAGATTCAAAAGATACATGTGCACCCTATATATTTTCAAGTTTATGAGACAAGTGTTCAATGGATGCTTTTTTTATTAATATTAAATAAAAAAATAGTTATTACCATTGTTTCAAAACCATATAAATTAGAATTCATTCAAATTCAATTACAATATAAATGGTATTTCGCCGAAAGGTAAAACTTTCCTTCGAAAGCACAAGCTAACATGGAAACAAATATCTGAATAATTACAGATCCTATGTCTACGCTTTGCACCCAAATGCTTACTTTGAGTTGTAAGTGAAGCATGGACACAGTACATGAAATTATATTTTAATCAGATTGCAAAAATTACAAACACAAAAACCTCAATGCTAAAATTAAGTACTGACGCCCCAAATTTATAAATGAAAATCCCTCTTAATAAATTTCATGCATCCGTTTATGATCAAGAAGTTTCTTGAATATATTCAACTCCCTATATTTCTCGTCGAGTGTTGTCTAATTAACACTACACAGAAAAAAACTAAATATTTACAACTACGTGTGAAATATAGGGTAGACCATATGATTTCACAATGTATACCATTTATCTATAAATCGATATTTTCTATTTGATTTTAATCACACTGATGAAGTTGTCTGCCACTGATTGCCATGTTTCCGGTTTCTTGATAATCGGCTGTTGCCGTTTGAATTGGAGGTACAAAGCCATTCGAATCTGCTCGGGGATGAAGTCTGCTATCATTGTCCACCTTAATATCCTGTAGATGAACGACTTCTGTAAATAAAATTTATATATTAATGATGAAATCGCTATGGACTTTGTATTGATAAAAACACGACATATACACTTGTACTGAACATGGTATTGTATAACATATTTTTAAAAAAATGCCAAGGAGACAACTATCCACAAGAAACGAAATGACGTAGAAATGTGCAACTTTCGCTCCGAACAGCCATCAGCAATAAGCAATACCTATGCCGCTTATCAAGCTATAAAAGGCCCAAAATGACCAATGTAAAACCAATCAAACGAGATAACTAACGGCCCTATTTATTTACAGAACAATAAACGAAATATATATATATATATATATATATATATGATATACAGCAACAGACAACATCCACTGAGTTTGGCTCCTGATTTGGGATAGGCACAGGATGTGGAGGGGTTAAACATATTTGCAGGCGCCCAACTTTCCCCTAACATATGACAGTGGCGTAACAACACAGATACGAAAATAAACAGTACAATCAATTGGAAAGGGCTTTACTCAAAACACAAAAACAACTAACAAAACACAAAACACAAAACAAACAGATATGAGTGAACTCGCAGTTACTGGTGATGTCTTATCACTAAATAATTTGGTGAATATGTTGAACGCATCTATATCCAATCGAACTTGAAATAATTAAAACAACAGGTACAGTTACGTCTGAATCATATATTGACTCAAATCTAGAAATTGACAATGAATGTTGATTGAGCACAACTATACGACAAAAGAGATGATTCAGAGTCCCAATTGTAAGCTTTTCATTTCTATGTAGCAACATTCTTAACACTTTAACAAAGATTTCAAACTATCGGCAGACAGGAAGTGGCTGCACGGCAGATGTAATAAAATGCTCCGCTGGGGCGCAGCTTGATACGACCGCAGAGGTCGAACCCTGAACAGTTGGGGCAAGTATGGACACAACATTCAAGCTTGATACAGCACTGAATTTGGATTGTAATTAAATATTTGACACAGCATAGGTTTCTGACACAGAATGAAAGTGGTCTAAGAACTTAAAATTTTTTTAATTTACCTATTCAAACCATATCATTATTATTTGTTTTTATATATAAATCAGAAATAAGCTTTTTTGGCAATTACCCCCAAACTCAAAACCAGTTTTCCCTTTGTGATATGGAACCTTGCAGTACAATTTCATGAAGATCCATACACTTACACACAAGTTATTGTCCTGAAACTAGAAAGATGCTTGTTTTTTTGCCCTTTTATGGCCCCTAATTACTAAAATTTAGAGGGAATTACCCCCAAAATCAATCCCAGCCTTCCCTTTGTGGTATGGTACCTTGCAGTATAATTTCAGAGAGATCCATACACTTGAACACAAGTTATTGTCTGGAAACTAGAAAAAGGCTTATTTTTGGCCCCTTGTTGGCCCCTTATTCCTAAGCTTTTTTGGCAATTACCCCCAAGCTCAATTCCAGCTTTCCCTTTGTGATATGGAACCTTGTAGTACAATTTCATAAAGATCCATACACTTACACACAAGTTATTGTCATGAAACTAGAAAAATGCTTGTTTTTGCCCCTTTTTGGCCCCTAATTCCTAAAATTTGGAGGCAATTACCTCCAAAATCAATCCCAGCATTCCCTTTGTGATATGGAACTTTGTGATACAATGTCAGAGAGATCCATAGACTTACACACAAGTTATTGTCATGAAACTAGAAAAATGCTTGTTTTTTGCCCCTTTTTGGCCCCTTATTCCTAAAATTTGGAGGCAATTACCCCCAAAATCAATCCCAGCATTCCCTTTGTGATATGGAACCTTGTGGTACAATGTCAGAGAGATCCATACACTTACACACAAGTTACAAAAATGCTTATTTTTGGCCCCTAATTCCTTAACTGTTGGTACCATAACCCCCAAAATCAATCCCCACCTTCCTTTTGTGGTATTGAACCTTATGGTAAAATTTCATTGAGATCCATTCACTTAAACTAAAGTTAGAGTGCGAAAACTAATCTGTCTTCGGACGACGACGCCGGACGACGACGACGACGACGACGCCAACGTCATACCAATATACGACCACAAAATTTTTTTTGCGGTCGTATAAAAATTGCTTACACGCTACAACTCATCATCCCGGGCCTTAAATGCCGACTGACATGAAGAGGATAGGTGAGGTGAGGTGACAACTCATCATATCAAGATGTAGACCAAATGTAAAAGCTTTTTCTTCCAAAGAAGCAATAAAAACTTTGAAAATATTTCTACCTAATATCTAACAGACGGACGGACAGACGGACGGACGGACGGACGGACTGAATCAAGCGGTTAATAAACCTGCTTTTGCCTTCGGCGACAAAGGTAAAAATAGAAAAGGCCAATTATTGCCTATTATCAAATACAAAATTAGTGTCCATATCAAATACAAAATGCATTGTTGTATTATACAGTTATATATACCTTCTTGACTTTTCTCGAGCAAGTCTGTTTCTTCTTCCGATGAGGCGTCTATTTCAGTTGAAGACCTAGAATCATCCATTTTCAGCTTTTGATTAATTTGTCGACGCAATCTAAGGTTCTGATATATAAGGAAAGAACATACTATAGCCAATATGGCCAATATAGCCAATCCTATCAATGTTGGATACAGCCATATAAACGAACTCTCTTTACAGCTGGAGGGACTCAATGTTTCTGTAAAATAATCTATATTCTTCTACATGTGTACAATAATTTTCGAATTAAAACATTTTAAAACATGAAATGTTTATATTCATATTGCAAGAGTTGTCTTGCTTTTGATTTTTAAACTCGTTTAAATAAAATGATATACATAATTACGTATGCCTCATATAGTAAAACCATCTTTTGAATTCACATTATTTTCAATTTATTTTTTAACACGTTTGAAACTAGAGGTTCACGCTGAAATGTCGCGCCTGCTTTACTGGTCATTATTGAATTTATGTTTAAAGTCTTTAAGATAAAAGATCAGTACGATAAACATAATAAAATTTTATCAATTGATCAACCATCCATGTCAATAAGGTGAAGGTTTAGATTAACCCTCCATTATAATCATTTCATTTATCAAATATATTTAACCTATTGTTCATAGTATCTGAGAAACGTACCTAACTACTAATAAATTGCTTCGCTGAGCGCAGCTGGATACGACCGCAGATGTCCAACCCTGAAAAGTTGGGACCAAAATGAACACAATATTCACGCTTGATACAGGTTTGAATTTGGATTGTAATTAAATATTTGACACATAATAGGTTTCTGCCACAGAATAACTGTAGTCAAAGAACTTAAAAACTGGTTATATGATTTGAATATATATTCATTTTTTTGCTTTTGTGCAATACACTATGCTGTTGTATATTAACCCCAAAAAAAATATTTGATTTTAATTTCTGAAATCTGAAATGAGATAAACAAAACTCCCCAAAAAAATTTTTTTTTCACCTCCCCCTTTCCCTTATTCCAAAAAAAATCTTTCCCTCAAGATATAGTCATTATCTCAATTCAAATTTCTAATAAAGTTTGCAACCATAATTACCCATTTAAATACATCATGAAAGTCTTAAAATATAAAATGACATACATAGTCATGGCTAAAATTAATATTAATTAATTGTAACTTCTAAAAAAAAATTGACAGCTAAGACAATCATCATTTCTTAATAAATAATTTACTAGCAGTGTAAGGGAGTTAATCAAACATTGTTGTTTTTAAATGGGATTGGATTACCTCCCTTTGACTGCTTTAAAATTGTCTTAATTGTCCTTTAACCAGAAAAAACCTTGTTTTTCCCCCTTTTTTGCCCCTAATTCCTATATGGTTTAAGCCATACCCCCCCCCCCCCTTCCCCCCAAAAAAAAATCAATCCTAACCATCCCTTTGTCGTATGGAAACTTATGGTATAATTTCAGAGAGTTTCATACACTTAAACACAAGTTATTGACTGGAAACTACAAAAATGCTTATTTGGGTCCCTTTTTTGGCCCCTAATTCATAAACAGTTGGGACCATAACCCCCAAAATCAATTCTTTTAGTGGTTAAAAACCTTGTGTTAAAATTCTATTGATTTCTATTTACGTATACTAAAGTTATTATCCGGAAACCATCTGTCTTCGGACGACGCTGACGACGACGACGACGTGATACCAATATACGACCAAATTTTTTTTTAATTTTGGCGGTCGTATAAAAACGAAAGAATAAACATTGACCAACGAATAATGAGAATGATTTCTATGTCAAATGGAACCTGCAAGACGGACATGTATTCCTTACAACTTTTCCATACACCAAATGCTGATGACCTACGGTTTATAGTATCCGACAAACAAACCTAATCATGAAAACTCAACCTTGATCACTGGTTCATGAAATGAGATCAAGGTCAAGTAACAGACATACAGACTTGCAAGGATCCCTAAACACCAAATAAAGTTATTCACGTAACAAAAAATATAATTTTTTTAAAGCAGCCGCTTAACCATGAAAATAAAATGCTTCGCTGGGGCGCAGCTTGATACGACCGCAGAGGTCGAACCCTGAACAGTTGGGGCAAGTATGGACACAAAATTCAAGCTTGATACAGCTATGACTTTGGATTGTCATTAAATATTTGACACAGCATAGGTTTCTGACACAGGATGAATGTGGTGTAAGAACTGGAAAAAATTTAATTTACCTATTATGGTGGAATATCCATAAACTAAATTGTTTGTTAATTTCAATATATCAAAGAATATGTAGAATTCAATGTTTGATGTAATGTAATAAAGTTGAAATTTGGACCGTTTTTGTTCAATGTGGACCAATTTGGTAACATGTATAAATAATCAAAAATCTAAATACATGGGAGCCCATTTAAATACATCATAAAGGTATTAAAATAGAAAGTGACATCATAGTCATGGCTAAAAATAAACAAAAATCCTTAATCAGCAACATTTAAAGTAATATCTAAAAATAAAATTCCTTTGTAACCATAAAAGCCCATTTAAATACATCATAAAGATATTAAAATAGAAAATGACATCATAGTCATGGCTAAACAAGCAAAAAAACCCTTAATCAGCATCATTTAACAGTAATATCTAAAAATGGAAATTAAATCATAAAGGTATTAAAATAGAAAATGACATCATAGTCATGGCTAAAAATAAACAAAATCCTTAATCAGCATCAGCAACATTTTATAGTAATATCTAAAAATAAAATTCCTTTGTAACCATAAAAGCTCATTTAAATACATCATAACAGATTTTAAAATAGAAAATGACATCATAGTCATGGCTAAACATAGCAAAAACCTTAATCAGCATCATTTAACAGTAATATCTAAAAATAAAAATTTCTTTGCAACCATAAAAGTAAAATAGAAAATGACATCATAATCATAGCTAAAAATAAACGAAAATTTTTTTTATTGGCAAATTTTAAATGGAGTTTATTATACTAAAACAATAAATTTGCAACCATAAACATGATAAAACCCCATTTAAAACACATCATAAAAGTATTAAATAATTCAACTACATCATAAGGCTATAAAAATAGAAAATGACTTCATAGTCAAGGCTAAAGGTAAACAAAAAACCTTCATCAGCAAAATTTTATATTGGCAAATTTCCAATGAAGTTTATTACACTAAAATTGTTGGCAAATTTCCAATGCATTTATTAACAATAAAGTTATTGGCAAATTTCCAATTTACATAATTTAAAAGCAGTGTAAATGAGATATTTAAATGAGTTTGAATTACCAACCTTACACTGCTTTTAAATAATGTTCTTTACTCAATTATTTGTCTATTAAAATGGAAACCCTTGTTTTTTAACCTTTTTTCCCCTTATTCCTTAAACATTAGAGCCATAACCCCCCCCCCCCCCCCCCCCCCCCAAAGCCAATTATTACTTTCCAATGTAACTTAAATTTCCAATATACATAATTTTAAATTTCAATTCCTCATGATATATAATCGTATCATTATTATTTTCTTTCATATATAAATCTGAAACAACCATCTTTAAATGGAAAATTTTAAAGAAAAAAAAAGGAAAAAAAAAAATCCTACCTCCCACACATTTTTTCAACCCCCTTTTGATTCATCATCCCCCACCTCAATCACAACCTTCAATTTGTGGTATGGTACATTGCAATACAATTTCACAGAGATCCATACACTTGAACACAAGTTTTTGTTGCAAACTAAAAAAATCCTTATTTTTGACCAATATTTGGCCCCTTATTCATAAATGTTTGAGCAATTAACCCCAAAACTCAATTCATACTTTCTCTTCGTGATAAAAAATAACTAACTTAAAATGTAAACTAGAAAAAGGCTTATTTTTGGCCCCTTGTTGGCCCCTTATTCCTAAGCTTTTTTGGCAATTACCCCCAAGCTCAATTCCAGCTTTCCCTTTGTGAAATGGAACCTTGTAGTAAAATTTCAGAAAGATCCATACACTTACACACAAGTTATTGTCATGAAACTAGAAAAATGCTTGTTTTTTGCCCCCTTTTGGCCCCTTATTCCTAAAATTTTGAGGCAATTAACCCCAAAATCAATCCCAGCATTGACCCTTTGTGATATGGAATCTTGTGGTACAATGTCAAAGAGATCCATATGCTAACACACAAGTTATGTCTGGAAGTTACAAAAATGCTTATTTTCGGCCCCTTTTTGGCCCCTAATTCCTTAACTGTTGGTACCATAACCCCCAAAATCAATCCCCACCTTCCTATTGTGGTATTTAAACTTATGGTAAAATTTCATAGAGATCCATTCACTTAAACTAAAGTTAGAGTGCGAAAACCATTGTGTATTCGGACGACGACGCCGGACGACGAAGACGACGACGACGACGACGACGACGCCAACGTCATACCAATATACGACCTCAAAATTTTTTTGCGGTCGTATAAAAATGAGGTCAAGGACAATGGACATATGACAGACGAAAATTTCGTTAAAAAAGACATTTTATACAAGATATGTGACAAGTTTTATACAAATAGTTTTCGCGGTCGTCACCACCGCCGGAATAGCATCAAATGACCATATATCTTGCATTCTGCGACTTTCGTTACAGGCGTGATTAAAAATCTTACCCATATTCGTAAACAGTTTCAAGTAGATCAAAGATGAACAGAATATTCTGACATTAGGACATAAAATTAGTTAAATAATGGCCAAAACATGGTTGGATAATTACACTTTCATATCGAACTTCTACGAATAACAATTATCTGAACAATTCTTTGAGTTAGCAAAAATTAAAATAAACAAAAATACCGAACTCCAAGAAATATTCAAAACGGAATGTCCTTTATTAAATGACAAAATCAAAGCTCAAACACATCAAAAGAATGACAAACAACTGTCATATTTCTGACTTGGTGCAGGCGTTTCCTTATGTAGAAAATGGTGGATTAAACCTGGTTTTATAGCTAGCTAAATCTCACACTTGTATGACAGTCGCATAGAATTCCATTATATTGACAACAAAGTGTGAACAAAACAAACAATAATAAGCAATTTGCAATGCTACTCTTAATAACAATTTGTCATTTGAATTTTAAAACAAGAAATAATTGTAACAGGATGCTGTTAAGAAGTCTCCCAAACAAAGCTCCAATAATTCGTCATTCCCATGGTCGCCTGACATTGGGCAAAGTCAAGTACAAATTGGTTTGTGATATGCATAAGTGACGCCTATGGATTGACCCTGTATGTCATTCAAATCTTCTTGAAATGACGAACAGTAATATATATGGTTGTTTAGGGGTGTAGTTCTCGACCGTTTATAAGTTCTCAAAAAAGGGGGGTGTGATCCCCAGGGGACTCGCCAGTTATTTCATATGATTTGTTTTTTTTTTGTCCCATACAAGAATATATATGGTTTAGGGGTGGGGATCTCGACCGTTTACAAGTTCTTAAACAGGAGGGGGTGGGGGTGACCTCAGGGGACTCGCCTTTTATTTCATTTGATTTGTTTTATTGTCCCATACAAGAATATATATGATTTCGGGGTGGGGATCTTGACCGTTTACAAGTTTTCAAAAAGAAAGGGGTGGGGGTTACCCCAAGGGACTTTCCCTATATTTCATTTGATTTGTTTTATTGTCCCATACAAGAATATATATGGTTTCAGGGTGGGGATCTCGACCGTTTACAAGTTATCAAAAAGAAGGGGGGTGGGGGTTACCCCCATGAACTTCCCCTATATTTCATTTGATTTGTTTTATTGTCCCATACAAGAATATATATGGTTTAGGGGTGGGGATCTCGACCGTTTACAAGTTCTCAAACAGGAGGGGGTGGGGTGACCCCAGGGGACTCGCCTTTCATTTCATTTGATTTGTTTTATTGTCCCATACAAGAATATATATGGTTTCAGGGTGGGGATCTTGACCGTTTCAAGTTTTCAAAAAGAAGGGGGGCTGGGGTGAACCCGGGGACTCCCCCAATATTTCATTTGATTTGTTTTATTGTCCAATACAAGAATATATCTGGTTTAGGGGTGGGAATCTCGACCGTTTACAAGATAAAAGCACATTCTCAAATTGAAGGGGGTGGGGGTAAGAATATATTTGGTTTAGGGAGACTTAATTATCTACAAAATGTCTAATTATGAACAGTAAATTTCAAACTGCATATATACAGTCCTACTAGTAAATTTCAAACTTTATATATACAGTCCTACAGATCTTATCAGGAAACAGAAAATTTTCAAATAAATTTGTCACTCCAATCATTATCATATGCTAAGATATTTCCCAGATCTAATTAATAATGAAAATCATACTTGCAAATCTGAAGGGTTATTTCCCTTTGAACAGAACTATTGTTTAACATAGTACTCTAACATTACATATATAATAATTAATAATGTAATTAACTTCAAAATGTCTAATAATATAGCTTATAATCATCACCACTTAGGAAATAGAAAATTTTCAAATAAATCTGTCACTCCAATTTTTATTTTGAGATAAGACATTTACTATGCTTAGTCATAATATGATAACAAAAGAAAAATATTTTTAAAAATACCACTTTTGGATATTAAAAATGGCGATAACTCAAAAAGGTGAAATACTAAAATCGTGAAAATTGAACTTGACCTTCATTTAGTCACAAGAAACAACATATCTAAATTTGAAAAAAAAATCATCACAGCGTTTTCATGTTATTGAAGAGACACTGTTTGGCAGCCGCCCGTCCGCCCGCCGTACATCCCCAAATCAATAACTGATATTTCCCTCGAAAATCCGGTTAACAATGAACTGACAGTATGTATCTATAGGCGACTATATGTTATAGGGTTGCATGGTTTGATGCACGCATTCTATTTTCATTTTCGCATCTGGCATATCAGAAAGTTGCTTACCCTGTTGACATACATGGATTTGTTTAATATCATAGCAGCTTTTATAGCCACTATTTCCTAGCTATATAAATATCTACCTATGTTGAACAATATTCTGCTTAGCTAGCCTACCAAAATGATGTTATTAACCTATCCGACGCAATGGTGTATGCTCTAGCATGAATATTTCGCACTATCTAGGTCTATTTAGAAATATGTAGTACATGTAAATGAATAATGTCGTTTTTAATTTTGATTTGTTTAAAGCTTTGAGACTTCAACTCCAGCTAGAACTAAAAACTACAAATGGGACATATTGATACCAGTTTCGTTAATTACATTGTAGGTCAACACCCAACCAAAGACAAGGTAGGAAATTAAAGATGGGATTTTAGGGTTTCCAATTAAATCAGAAATAATTAATCTAGTGTAATCCATTTCCTTTAAAAGCAAAAATGAGTCCGTTTGCTATCAATCAGATATTTGTTCATGTCTTTCAGTCGATATCTTATTCTAGAGAATATACCCAAAAAATAATCAACAAAATAACTAAACTCCAAGTTAATTTCAAAAAGGGGGAAGTCCTGACCATAAAAACTGACAAAATCAAACGTTAGTCTATATCAACCAACGGAACAAATAGAAAACAAAGGTCATATTCCAGACTTGGTACATGTACATGCATTGTAAAAGACTAGATTGTTGTTGACTTAACAAATATTCACAAATAAAAATGAACATACCTTTACAGTATGACGAACAGTTGGATAAATGCATGTTATCTACCCAGCAGTAGTCTTGAAAGTCAGAACACTGTCGACACACTTGTTTTTCGGTTTCACAAAATTCATACCCAAGTTTGCAGAGCTGGTTATCACAATCTGCTAGGATAACTGAAAAAGTCGGAGATGTCTTTATTATCAAAATTTACAAAAGTAAATAAACGAAAACTGATTTATATATAAAAAAAAAAGTGTATTTCCCTTTCGAAATATTTTTTGCAAGTTATACATCTCAACCTTAAGTTGAAGTGGCATTATTTAACTCTTTATTCCTTTTTAAGGAAAGAAAACGTAAAATATGTTTCAAGTCAAATTGCACACTTTGTGCATGCAGATCAAGTACATGTACAAAGTTGATGCGTTCTTTACAATTTTAAAGAGTGCATGTCTAATACCTTTTAAGGTTTTACATATTGGTTATTTTTTAAAAGGCATTTTATCAAATGGTTTATCTTATAAATTTTGACTTGGATGGAGATTTGTCTCATTGGCACTCATACCACATCTTCTTATATCTATTATTTGCTAACAGTTTAAACATTATATTGCAAGCAAATATTTGAATTAAAACAAATCATTAATTTGGATTATTTAGCTGTACATGAATTCTTAAGGATGTTCGCTCCTCTATTTCAAAATAACAAGCTTTTTAATAGACTGTTATAAATTGATAGTTTATAAATAACTGAACTTAAAAGAGAAGTTAAGATATAATCAATTGAAAATTTGGCGGGAAATGATTCTCTCTAGATTTTTCTTAGACACTTTTTTTCTTTCAAAAACTATGATAACACAACAAGGATTTTTTAAGATTTTCAAAAATTGGCTTTTTAAACTATATGTAATAAAATCATGAAAAGAAAAGTAGGTTATAGCGGGCAAAATTATTATTGGCACTAATTGGATACAACTAGAGGATTCCGAGTATCTGACAAAACGAATTAAGCTGTGTTTGTCTTTCTTGTTGTTCATATGTTGATTATTTGTTTCCTTCTTTTTCGGAAAAGAAAAGTATAAAAATAGTTCAACTAGTTAAGACTGCATGTTTTCACTCATGCCGTATCAAGTGCATTTATAAGTTGGTGCTTTCTGAACAATCTTTTAAAATGTCAAAATCTCTTCAAGCAGTTAATATTATACACCTATTGACTGGGTGTGAGGGTAATAGCAAGTTTGTTGTCCCTGAGATACCAACTATTGCTCGAGGCAAAGCCGAGAGCAATAGTTGGTATGCGAAGGGACTACAAACTTGCTATTACCCGCACAACCAGTCATTAGGTGTTTTATTATACTGAACAACACAGTCATTAAGTGTTTTTATATACCAAATTAACTAATTTTCTAAAAGTGTACATATATCATCTGAAAGAAAAGAAAAAATGTCACATAACTTGACATGCACAAGATGAACTATACGGTTTTTTTTTATAGTTCTTCTTGTATTTGTAAATATTTTATTAATTGCAATCAAGACTAGAAATACTTGTGTTAAATTTTCCGTGCATATGATAAATTTAAGCTAAAGTACACCAAACGCAAATTCGCTTTTAGAATACGACGACCGAACCCATATTATGAATAAGGTACTATATTTTAGATCTTTAAAAGATTTTCTCTCTTTTATAATTGCTTCTTGTAAGTGAAATTACAATCGACACAAACAGATTATACCGTTTACAATATTAGAGTTTGACGTTGACAAGCAAAATAGTCAATGACATCATTATTGTCCAATGAAAAATAAGCATGAAAAGGTACGGGAAAGATGATTATGAAACTATTAACCGGGGTAATAGTCTTTGAAACTATTGACTGGCAAATAGTCTGTGGAATGAAATAGCACAACTATTTCATTATTTTTTATATAGAAAAAACATACTGAGGTATAATAAATACAGTTAGGTTACTTTTAAAAAAGATATTCGCTGCTAGCACTTTGAAAAATATACTCCAATTTAAAATTTTAATTTCAAAAAGATTATTAATGTACGTGAAATGAAAGAATAATTCGAAGTAAGCTGCGAATAACTTTTGGGATCTTATTTATATGTATAACGTTTCTCAAAAATGTTTTATCACAAACAAGTCATGCTTTTAAGTTACAAAATAATTAGATAACAAATAAATATACATGTATTGAAATTGCATAGTGCATTTTCATTCATTTGAATTACAAATACATATTTTGTTTTAATAATATAATACTTCAAGTATTAAGTGCTTGTTTTGAAATTATCAACAAACTACACTAGCATCTATAAACTTACCAGAAAATTGTGTTATTAATCCTATCGAAAATATTACTTCCAACTTTCCTACATCCATAGTGTTTTGCTCGAAAAGGCTAAAAAAAATAATACATTCTATTTTTCGTTTTATTTATGTTATCAAGAAACTATTGCATATTCTTAAACTATTGCATTCATGTATATAACTATAGTTGCATATAAATCATTTAGATTAGGGGAGGGTTGAGCACTCTTAAATATGTTTAACCCCGCCACATTCTGTATGTGCCTGTCCCAAGTCAGGAGCCTGTAATTCAACGGATTGGTTGTCGTTGGTTACTATTTGTCTTTTGTACATTTTCTTTAGTACGTAAATCAGGCTATTAGTTTTTTCGCTTGAAAATGTTTACATGTTATCGTGTCGGGTCTTTTATAGCTTACTATAAAGTATACATTTTCTCATTTGCCGTACAGGTACCCATGCATATATCCTTAAATGTACGTTATTTGGTCTCTGATGGATAGTTGTCTCATTGGTAATCATAAGACAACCTAAATCTAGTCACAATTTCTCCCCCTATTATTATCATATGTTGGAAAGTTATGGTCTCTTAAAAACTTCTTTTATCCATTTCATGCCCATGGGATCTTGCCTTCTGGTTTGGAATGATTCCCCCTCCCCTCTTTCATATCAAATGACATAAGATGAGTATGACCACGAATAAAACCAGGGATTGCATTGTTTTACGGAAGCCAAATATCACTTGACATCATTGTTCTTATGATGTCCTCGTTTAAATATTATGTGTATATTTTAGTGTACTGAATTTTGTACTTATACATAATCAAATAAAATGCTCCGCTGGGCGCAGCTTGATACGACCGCAGAGGTCGAACCCTGAACAGTTGGGGGAAATATGGACACAACATTCAAGCTTGATACAGCACTGAATTTGGATTGTGATTAAATATTTGACACAGCATAGGTTTCTGACAGACACAGAATGATTGTGGTCTAAGAACTTATTTTTTTTTAATTTACCTATTCAAACCATATCATTATTATTTGCTTTTATATATAAATCAGAAATAACCAATTTAAAATGGAAAATTTTAAAGAAAAAAAAGGGGAAAAAAATCCCCCCCCCCAATTTTTTGTACCCCCTTATGATTCATCACCCCCAAACTCAATCCCAGCCTTCCTTTTGTGGTATGGTACCTTGCAGTACAATTTCAGAGAGATCCATACACTTGAACACAAGTTATTGTCTGGAAACTAGAAAAATGCTTGTTTTTTAGCCCCTTTTTTGGCCTCAAATTCCTAAACGTTTAGGGCAATTACACTCAAACCCAGATTTCCCTTTGTAATATGGAACCTTGTAGTACAATTTCATAAAGATCCATACACTTACACACAAGTTATTGTCCGGAAACTAGAAAAATACTTGTTTTTTGCCCCTTTTTTGGCCCCTAATTCCTTAAATTTGGAGGCAATTACCCCCAAAATCAATACCAGCCTTCCCTTTGTGGTATGGTACCTTTCTGTACAATTTCAGAGAGATCAATACACTTGAACACAAGTTATTTTCTGGAAACTAGAAAAATGCTTGTTTTTTAGCCCCTTTTTGGCCTCAAATTCCTAAACGTTCAGGGCAATTACCCCCAAACTCAAACCCAGATTTTCCTTTGTGATATGGAACCTTGTAGTACAATTTCATAAAGATCCATACACTTACACACAAGTTATTGTCCGGAAACTAGAAAAATGCTTGTTTTTTGCCCCTTTTTGGCCCCTAATTCCTAAAATTTTGAGGCAATTACCCCCAAAATCAACATCAGCCTTCCATTTGTGGTATATTACCTTGCAGTACAATTTCAGAGAGATCCATACACTAACACACAAGTTATTGTCTGGAAACTAGAAAAATGCTTGTTTTTTGCCCCTTTTTTTGCCCCTAATTCCTAAAATTTTGAGGCAATTATCCCCAAAATCAATCCCAGCATTCCCTTTGTGATATGGAACCTTGTGGTACAATGTCAGAGAGATCCATACACTAACACACAAGTTATGTCTGGAAGTTACAAAAATGCTTATTTTTGGCCCCTTTTTGGCCCTTAATTCCTTAACTGTTGGTACCATAACCCCCAAAATCAATCCCAACCTTCCTTTTGTGGTATTAAACCTTATGGTAAAATTTCATAGAGATCCATTCACTTCAACTAAAGTAAGAGTGCGAAAACTAATGTGTCTTCGGACGACGACGACGACGACGACGACGACGACGCCAACGTCATACCAATATACGACCGCAAAATTTTTTTGCGGTCGTATAAAAAAGGGTCAAAGTCTCAAATGGCCTGGTTTTAATATTTGTGACCAATATAAAATGTTTACAACCTAGTTGCAATTACATGAAGGATGTACATTTTGCTTGAAAATAACTTAGTTTTCAAGTCTGGTAAAATAAGGGAAAAAACAAACAATTCTATAATATATTGTACTAGGCGCACAACTTCAACATTTGTGCAATCTTCCTGTGAAGTTTCGGGTATCAGAGATGAAACCTGTAGGAGAAATTGATTACACGCAACTGGTAACCTCTTTAAAAAATTTTGCTGAAAAGTGTCTATGATCGGAAGTCTGGAAAAATGAGAAATAATTGCCATACAATTCCATAATAGCAGTTGCACAACTTCAACGTTTGTGCAATCTAAATGTGAAGTTTTAGGGATATGGGCTAAAAGTCATAGAGAAAGTTTATTACACAAAACTGGTACCCTCTTTCATAAATTTTGCTGAAAAAATGACTGGAGTTGTGAAATCAGGAAAATTGAGAAATCATTCCTCAAACATTCTATAATAGCAACTTCAAAATCGGTGCAATCTTCCTGTGAAGTGTCATGGATATGGGTTGAAAACTGTTGGGGGAGTTGATTACACACCTTCTTTCGTAGTTTTTCGGAAAAATGACAAAGTTCCGAAGTCGGCAAAAAAGAAAAACAAATCCTCAGACAATTCTATAATAGCAGGTACACAACTTCAAAATGGGTGCAACCTTCCGGTAAATTGTCAGGGATCTGGGTTGAAAACTGTAGGAGGAGATGATTTAACAAATTAGGCACAAACTTTTCAGTTCAGCCCTCCCAGACGCCCGCTCGACGTCTATCAAAGAAAAGAAGAGGCCCAATTGAGGCTAAATTTAGATAGAACTTGTACTCTCCTGTGAAAAGAATTATTCACATTCTTAGCAGTTCATGCAGCAAATATTTCAATAGTGCTTCATTTTGTAGTTTCTATCTTTTATTTTATCATATATATATAATTTTTCATTTCCTACTGTTTGAAAGGACAATTGTTGGAAATGAATACTTCCAAGAGACATACAATGTAATTCAGCTTTTTCATAGATTAATACAGGCAACAAAGGCAACTTTACAGCTGTGTTTTTTGCATATTTAATGTTTTAAGTGTCCAACATCGTTGTTTTATCATCTCAAGACAGAATAATGGATTTTATAACAAGCTTTGAAAATTTGGACCACAATATGGCATATACTAAAGCATGGAATGGAGATAAGTATGAAAAATCTTGAGTTTGTGCTTATGTTGTAAATTTTGAATAAAATGACAAATTGAATGGAACTGTCATTTTTATCTGTTTAAATGGCACTGTTTACTATTATTTTTTAAATAAGATAAGATAGAATTGGATACAGGTAGTTTATCAAGCCTTATCTGAAAGAAGTACAGAAGGTGTGAACCAGCATGTAGGGGTGGGGACATAAAATGTTCCATGTTCCATTAAGTAATAGAACATAAAAGTATTTCTTATAGCCAAGGTTTTCACAATAACTCAGTATTGCATTGATAGTGTCATAAGAATTCTTTTTATCTTTATGTCATATTTCCCCAGCTTTAGGTTGGCCTTTTGTGTACCCAAAGGCAGGTGAAGGAAGTCAACTTAGGAGCGCTGATATTGGATGTAAGGGTACAATATATTTTTTTATTTATCTATGAATAAGTGCAGTGTGTATATTTACAATATAAATTTTGAAACCCCTTGAATATTTTCTTGAGAATTATTCGAAAAGACTTCCAAAATTTCATAAATTTGATGTAAAATGACGGTGGGCATGGATAACATAAACAAGCACCGCTGGAAGATGGTCATGATACTATTTGACTTCAATTTCTAAAGCAAAATAATAAAGAACTAATACCACACATAACTGTTTTGTCCAGGTTTTTATTATAAAAAGTGGTAAATTTAGAAAATGTTAGTATTGTCGCCTATGGCATAATAAATACTACAGTTTTCCCTGAAAGCCGGCTTTGGACTACGAATTACGGATTACGAAATACGACTTTATCTAATTACATTAATTTTACCCTGGACACACAGTTTAACCGAACATGGATCCACATGTAATGAAATGGATATATATGTAATGATTAGTAATACAACTAAATATAAATAATAAAAATATATGCATATGCTGTCGTAAATAAGATAATTGCATATCGAATGACAAAATACTCAAATATATTTAATTAATCAAAAGGTTAAATTATAGAAGAAAGTTTATATTATGTGGTTTACCTACATATAAAATTTTACGTGTAGTCTCGTCTAAATCTTCAGCGGAAGAGAATGTCTTAGAAAGTTCCAGCTATATTTAGATACATAATTTCCAATCTATTTTTAGTCATTACGTTACACATTGCGTAGTATACGCCTTTTTAAACAGGTATACAATCATATGATCAACGACCTTGATAAATAGATCTATAAATATAATCATACAGGTGCATCAGTTCAATCCTTCTGCTTTACGTTTTTAAAAGGCTTAATCCTAGTTGAATTGGTGTACGCAATGTGAATTTATTTGCACAAGCTGAGCCTGGAGCAAGTCTCCCCCCTTTTCAAAGTTTCTTTTATTATTGCATTTCACTTTCAGAAGTTTGTTCCCTTTCCACACACACGCAAACACTTTTCAGCCTGCTCCTACGCCACTGATTTGATATTTATAAAGTAATTAAATTTAAGCAAAATGTTCTTCACGTCAAAGTGTCGCCATATTGAATGGAAATGAAAGAGGTAATTAAAAAGACATTTCTCACTTTGCATGCATTGTCACCAACAGAAAAGCTGATAAACAATGCTTGTGTTTTCCTCGTCTCCATGTTCTTCAACATTTGTTCAGTAGAATATTCCACCATTTGTTCAGCCGAATAAATACAACTTAAACAAGGATTTTGCATGTCAATGACCTTCCTGGTTGGTGGCAATCTTTTTACGTCACACAGGTATGCATTTTACCGCTCGCTACAGACTAACTATTGCACACTGTTTATTTCTGACATAGAGCTTTTTTTCATTGTTTTTGTACAAGTTTCCTCAAGTTGAATATTGTGACATTGGGTATTCATAAACAAATTGTCATTGAATTTTTAAAGACAACCTTTACAAATTTATAGATTTTTAAATATGATGTTTCTGAATCTGTTTATCTGTAACATGTAATTTTGTTGAAAGTCTCAAGTTTGGTTTTTAGTTGTTATTTTCACTTGTTTATTCATCTCGATTTTAACGAGGTTAAAAAGGTCATGCCAAGTATCAAATCAGAAACACATCAAATACTGTACAAGGAAAAAGTATTATGTATTAAATTTTTACACAAAACAGAATTCTATTTATGTTGATATGTACATGGTACGTACTAATACGTTTACTATACATTTTCACGTTGTCCAGCTTAAAAAAGATGATTGGGAGATATTTTTCAAGGAGTTAAACAATATTTGTCCTAATTTTTCATATTTCTTAACTATGTTATTAAATGTCTAGATGTAAGACGAAACGTAAATTAATATACGTAATGACGATGATTGTTGAAATGATTTTATGGTTCTGGTCCTGCCTGGAACTAAATGTACATGATTTATATGCAATGCTCTATCATGATAACATCTATATGAACTTTTAATATTTTATTTCAATGTAAGAAAAAAAGTTTTATCTGTCACAAATCACAATTCATTGTTTTGTGTGTATACATGTCATACATGTCATGCTACTCATCAAGCTGCCCATCAGTGGCCCTTGATTGGAATAATAAATATTCAAGGATTATTCTTATTCTTCTCTTATACAGAGTAAAATGCGAGTGTTTTTCAAAAGAAATCTCCATTAAAAGATCTAAATATTAAGTACATGTAAATAAGTTCATTTTCGGAGTTTCTCCTCGTCAAGTTTCCAAGTATACAAGCAAATATATTTTTTTCTGATACAAGTTCATGACTTTTGTGTGGATGATGAATAAATGACAGGGAATTTAACCTCAACGTTATAACTATCATATTGTAGTGATATAATCATTTGTTATCAGTATACTCTGGTTTGTTGTTATATATTATATTAATATTTGTATAACAGTTATATATAATTTTCATGTTTTTGTATATCATTTTATTCTACTATTCTAATGATAGTGCAGTGCACGTGCATGGTGAACACTCTTCTGTAATAATTCGTTTTTCTAATAGATTGGATTTGAGTAGGCATTCATATTTTCCCGCGTTTCTTGCGAAACGTTCTTGAGATATTCTTCCGCATGCGTTAACACAAATTTTCGGTATTCTTGATTTGTTATTGATATATATATTTCTAACGACAAAACATTTTCATATCATTTATCTATGTTCTTAAAAATTATTTTCGTTGATATTTATTGATGATATTAATATATAACAAGCGATAAGGAATGTTATTTTGCACTCGATAATATCCGCGTAATTATACGAAATACGTTCGGTTATCAGTCAAAAACGCAAGTCACGTGGGTAGAAATGTCTGTGGCAACATAACAACGGAATGCCCTCATGGTCATCCGCTGTAAAAAGTGTAACCTTTCAGTATACATTTGACTTTTAACAGGTTAAAGATGAGGTAAAAGCAGTTGATACTAATGTTGAGGTAAAACGTTTTTAGGGCTGTCTATTGTGGAAAACAGTTTGTTGTCTTTCGGTCATTAGTGTCGTTGGGTTGCGGGCTCATTGGTGTATACTTCACATTTCATCTCATTCACGGACATCGTTTAATAACAAAGACATGAAACAGATCTACTGCTTCCACTATAAACCGTCCTGTCAAGCAATATGAAATATTCCTCTCTACACAGACATTTACACTGCAAAATACAATTAACGACCACCGCAAATCAAAACCGTACATACTATAGGACGAATTCTCGAGTTAAAAAGATTCTATCATCTAGTTCTTTCAGGTAACGAATTTAAAGTAACTCAGAATGGCTTATTTTTTGGTCTGGTTTTTTTAAATGTTTTTATTTATTTTTGTTTGTGCCTATATGTCCTTTCCCATTTACTCTTCATAGAAAAAACTGCTTTCATTTGATGGCTAAGATGAACGACTGAAGTGATCTTATCACCTTACAAGTTCCAGACGCGTTTTCCATGTCATATACACTTTTATTATACTTCACGTAAAAATGCAATATTTTGATTGGACATACGAGGGTGTTAATTTACTCTATTCTATGGTAAATACTCTATTACCCTTCACGGAGACGCTTGGTCAAGTGTGCGCTTTATTAAATACGGATGGTTGTTATGTACAAGACGTCATAGTTTATTACTTTGAATTTGAAATTTAATCGTCAGTAATAACAGAACATTCAGTATAATAAATTAAATAACACATATCTGCGAGGGTGATAGAGCAGATTGTTATCCCTCGAAAAGACATTGTCAACCTTGGCTTCGCCCCAGTTGACAATGTTTTCTCGGGGTAACAATCTGCTGTATCACCCTCTCAGCTATGTGTTATTTATATAGTAGCATTCATATCCACTTTGGTCGTTCATGTGACGTCACTAAAAGTTTTTTATGTATATTTGCTACTATATAGGACTTTGGACTTGTATGGTGTATGATGCATGTTGTCAGCAGATTTTTATCTTGTCGGCGAACTTGGTTTTACTTTATCTGGGTTTTCAAGCGTTTGCTATGGTTTTATTTCAATGTTATTCTTTTTGTTTGTTGACTGCTTATTGTTGAACTTATTGTTATTTTCATTTACAATCTTCATATGTGCAAATAAAAGCAAGAAAATAAAAGACGCGAACAAATGCTTTAGATTTAAAATTAAAAACAAATTGGAAGGGAAGTGATGAAAATTTGTTCATGCCTTGGTTTTTTCAACAAATCTAACCATACGCTATTGTCCTCATCAAAATTAGCAAAAAAATCGCATGAGAACTTCTTTAAAAAAATGTAACATTTTGCTTGTTGTCCTAACTTATATATCCTATTTTCAAAAATCAAAATAATTTGTAGAACTATGAAATGAGCTCTAACTTTGACCTCAGTTTGAGTTATGGACTTCGGTATGTGATATTTCAGTTAGTAGCTGATCATAATAATAATTCTTTGAATCGGTATATAGACTATTATTATTTTTCTTGTACCAAAGGCGCTTGGGGGATGGACCACTCCCCCCTCTCCTTTTTTTATTTTTTCAATTCAAGTAAAAAATTCATTTTGTTTTTACTATTTTAACTTATTTCCCCCTTTTTATCGTATTGTTGCTACTATCTTAACGATTAAACAATAAAAACAGTATGACCGATGCCCCTCTATTATTATTTTCCGTGTGGAATATAAGAGTAAATGGGCATAGGTCATATAATGCTGTTTATTTTTAAATAATTGTGAAACAATGACTGACATTGTTTCGTATTGTCGCTGTCTAACTGGTGTTTATATCGCATCTCCTTTTGTTCGTATGGTTAATATTAATCATATGTTTGCTATTCAATATATATATCAATAAAATTATTAGGTTGTATTATCTAAATTGGTAATACAGTCAATGATGAAAGAAAATGAAAAAAAAATTGTGAGATAAACAGTAAATGAGACAGTAATAGAAAGCAAAAAACAAAAACAAAAACAAATGACATCTTTAGGTCAATATACGCTCTTCATAAACAGAAAGGTGCCTTTACAATATGTCACGCAAGCCAGAGTCAAGAAAAATGGTGAATAAATTAAACAATGAGAAAAAAAGAATTGTCATCGACACCAATCTGCCCAAAAGGACAACTTCTGACAAGAAAGGTGAAATATACCAAAGGGACATCCAAACTCGAAAAAGTTGAAAACAAACTGACAATGCCATGGCTAAAAACGAAAAACTACGAAAAGACAAACAACAGCATACAAGACACAACATAAAAAACTAAAGACTGAGCAACACGAACTCCACCAAAAGTCAATGGTTATATCAGGTGCTCCAGCAAGTCCGACAGGGTTCCTGACTTCTAAGACACATGGACATTTAGTCTTTTGACAAATATTGTGTTAAACTACACATTTTGAATAGTCTACGTTGAAATTTTTTTTATTAAACATTTCATCGTTCAGACTCATAATAAACACTGTGTTTAATAGATAATTCAGATAAGTTGACAAACTATTTTAATGTTTTTTGTAACAACCATATAACTTTCGACAACATGGTTCTATTCATATAGTTTGAAAGCAAAAAGAGAAGATACGTATTAGTCTAATATGATTATTTAATGTCTCTTGATAGAAAACATGAGCTCCAAAGTGGTATCATATACATAGTAAGACAAACGAAAATTAGGGAGAAGAGGAAATGTTGGTAAATATTGCTTTTGAATACCGAATTTAGGTTAAACTATTATGTTAGTTTTAAAGCATGCATTTAAAGCTTAAAAACGAGCTATCTGCTAACAACGTTTTCATCAAATCAGTTTCAGTTAGTAGTCTTAATTCCTTGTAGTACATTCTAGGAGACGACTGGTTGATTTTTATAACCCCGGAGCAGTAATGGTAGATCGGTGGGTAAGAACCGGTAATAAGGCATTGGGGCTGGCACATTTTCCCTCTTGAATCAAATACTCTTACATAAGCCTTTGTCTCTTTAAGCATAGGCGATTGAAAGGCTATATAGAAAGGTGTCACCGACATAATCGATCTTTTATCTAATACAACAGTGTCCACATATTTGCCATTGTACGAGAACCCAGTTGTTTCTACGGTAACCGGAAAGGGGGATGGTTCAAATACTTTTCCGAATCCACTGTGCGTAAAGTCTTCTGAGATCCGGTTAGCGATTGAAATATCATTTATACCAGACGTTTGGGTTTTTTCAAAAATAATAGTGATCGGGGCAATAGCCCATTTCAAAAGGTTTGATTCATCTGAGACTCTTTTTGAATAATGCATAAATGACCGTCCTGTTAATACGTTTACTTTTCCATCAGCACCACTTTTATAAAATGAACTTGCTCTTTTCTTACGCCGACCACCTCCCCCGCCACCTCCTCCGCCACCACCCCCACCTCCGCCCCCACCACCACCACCACCCCCAGCGCCGCCTCCTCCACCACCACCACCTCCACCATTTCCGCCACCTCCGCCACCACCTCCGCCTCCGCCAGATCTGGAATCAAATATTGTAGCTTCAAATTTTTCTGATTTTTGTAAAACTAGTGGTGTTTCTTTATAAATCATATTTTCAAGCATCATTTCCAGAAATTCACTTCTTGTTCTAGATTGACAACGATTGGTTGTGCTGTTGCATCTCAAAAATAGTTTTCTGTCACAGTACGGACAAGCCGGTGGTTCGGCATACTCAATTATATTCGTAAAATAACTGCTATACCCTTCAATATTGCGTTTTGGTGGCCGTAAGTTGTCCATTATTCTGTTCGGTTGGTGAAATCGATTTCTTGTTGGGGGATAATCTGTATCTGGGTTTATTCCCAGTTGTGACTGTCTTTTCCGAAAGACTTCCCACAAATAATCGATGTAGCAATGATGCAGGAAAAAGATTGGATCTTGGGGACTAGTAGGTGTTCCACTCATATGACCCCCTACCCACACATGTACGCTGTCATGGTGTCTCTCTAAATTTTCTATGTTCCTAGTTGCAGTAGGAGTTAAGATTTCTCTATTGTAACGCTTTAGGAAAACATTACGAAGCGCTGTGGCATTAATGAGTGAACTTCGTTCGGCTCCAATATTTCGCTGCAAATATCCTCCTGCTGGTGTTGTCCAGTTTGCAAATGGTCCATAAATAACGCGTCCAACCCCATTTCCAACAAACATGCTTGTAAAAAATACTGATTGTGTCGGATCGTCCATTTCATGTTCTAGATTTGAAGCCCAGTATGGCAGAGTTACTCTGATATTTTTCTCTCTTAAAGCACTCTCAAACCTGTAAATGTATAGTATATGTAACAAAATTAAATACTAATATCTGTTTCCTTTACCACTGTGTATCATCACCACCGGATATAGGTGCCCTTGGCCTGGTTCTCTGTTCATAGTCTAAGAAAAACTACATTACTGTACATATACCAACATATAGGTACCCAGGTAGCTATACGCTAGTATTTGTACAGTAATGTTGTTTTTCTTAGACAATGAACAGAGAACCAGGAATGAGTTTCACAAAAAATCTTACGACTAAAGTTGGTCGCAAGTATACTGAATTGTGTAAGACTTACGATCAACTTTAGTCGTAAGATGTTTTGTGAAACTGACTCCTGTCCAAGGGTACCTATATGCGGTGGTGATGATACACAGTGTTTACTTTTAACGCTCGCAGTATTGTAGAATATCGCCCATATCCGTTTGTAAAAATAAATAGCATACATTTATTGACAATTCTTTTTTTTTTAATCTTCGTCTTATTTACATAATTTTGTTTAAATTAATCACTGTACATTACTGTGTATGAACGGAAACATGACAGTCTGCATGAAATAAATTTTATTTAGTAGGATTCAAATTTTTTTCATTCAACTAAATTTTTCTTCAATTCCTAAAACACCAGACTGGATTCTTTACTTTTGTTTTCCTTGTTGAAACACTAGTTTAAGTTATTTTTCAATTTCTTGATAATTCATAACTTCTCAGTCAATGAGACTTGATAATTCAGTACTTACAGTTCGAGATAGTATCTATGCCAACTAACAAAGTTTGGACCTCCATGAGCCGATGGTAGTGCTAGTGTTTGATGCATTAAGGCGAATGCATCATACTTGTTTGGTGTAACGGACTGAAAATACATAATCATTACATGATTGCAATAAGATAGCATAAGATTACTTGTATTTTAAAGTAAATGATAATAACATTTTATACATTTCGCGCGTGCGCATGCAGCGCTTTTTTTTATTATTTCCCTTCATCAGGAACGCTCAAACTCAAACATACATTGTTCACCCAATTTTGTCAATATAACGGAACTATAAACAACTGTCATACATGTGGGAAGTTTAGCTAGCTATAAAACCAGGTTTAACCCATCATTTTCTTCGGAAAATGCCTGTACCAAGTCAGGAATATGGAATTGTTTTCCACTTGTTCCGTTGATTGATAGCGTTTGATTTTGTCAGTTTTTATGGACTTCCCCTTTTTGAATTTGCCTTGGAGTTCGGTGGTTTTGTTATATTTTTTTATAATAATAACAAGTTTATCCTAGGAAATAAAACTGTTGGCTTCACACCGAGATACAGGTACTTAGGCTTCACGATATCGGAAACGGAAACGATAGACTATACGGACAGTGTAAACGAATTGATTACCGCCGGTAGCAGAGCTCTTGGCACACTAGCGTCAAAGTATTATCAGATTGATGGACTAGCTTATGAAACAATCATTAAGCTTTTCAGGAGTATGGTGACCCCAGTCAGGGACTATTCATTAGGAGTTTGGGGGTTACAAGGTATACGGTACACTAGACAATCTCCAGAACAGAGCTATAAGATTTTTTCTTGGTGTCGGAAAAAGTGCAACGAATCCACCAATTTGTGGTGACATGTGTTGGATACCTCCCTATATTCGTAGGCGGTGTAATATTTTTAGACTGTGACATCAAATCATGAGTATGAACACCAGTAGATTGCTTTGTCGAATTTTTGAATGGGACTTCGTTTTCTCAGCTACATATAAAACACTTGGTATAATGATATAAAACAGTTGATGGAAAACTGTGGACTAAATAACCTGTTTAATGGTAATACAACTGATGAACTAAACGGAAAATTCATAACTAATTTTTCTGAAATAATGATGAGACGATATTTTTTTCGAAAATTGGAAAAGAGACGTCAACAGTATGCCAAAGTTACGGACATTCAAACTTTTATATTTAAATTTCGCAGTCCAATCACGTGTCAATTAAACCTTGTCAAGACAACAACATTCGGCAATCGCTAGAATATGAAGTGGAACCTATCAATTGGAGAATGAAAAAGGACGATAGCGTGGAATCCCGACTGACAGACGATTTTGTAAAGTATGCAAAATTCCTCGACGGTTGAAGACGAAAAACATTTTCTTATACACTGTCCCTAAGTACTTATCAAAACGGTTTTGCTGACTTTCACTTGCGCACATCTATCAACTTATCTTTGTTAATTGACGATAAACAGTAAATATGTCTCGATCTATAAAATTGATATAACAAAGAAAAGAGAACAATTAATTTCTATATGAATTTATAGACATGAGAAATTACGTCAAATATTTTTTAGGTAGTCATGATTTTTTATAAGACCTTACTATTTATGCTACATTTTATTAATTATCTATTCGTACAAATGGGAGGTTTAGCTAGCTATAAAACCAGGTTTACCCATCATATTTGTCGGAAATTCAAGTAACAAGTCTGAAATATTTTCCATTCGTTCCGTTGGTTGATATAGGTTAACGTTTGATTTTATCAGGTTTTATTAACTTCCCCCTTTTGAATTTACGTTGGAGTTCGGTATTTTTGTAAAGACTTTTTATATATATACTCTTACACTCTTATACTGCCTTTATCTCATGTGACATTGTGACACACCTGGCATAACAAGTTACTTGTCAAGTAAGCCAAAGACAAAAATAGTTCAACTACTTTCGGAACTCGAAAATTCCATTTTTAACAAGTACACAAATCAAAATAACAAACTGAGGGAATATCATGAACTCCAAGCTGAGCGAGACCGAGAGTACAGCTCGTTAATCAAGTACGTAAAATGTGAACGTGCACGCTCGTAACAAAGCAATTTAGAAACAATGTACACAAAATGTATGTATGTAGCGCCATACAATAGGACAGATAGGAAGTTGCTTCTGAGGAATGGGAAGTTACCAGTTGGAAATGAAATAGAAAAGCCTTCATCTAGATCGGTTTGTTTAAGCGGTTGCATGCTAACCAAGTGTTTCCGGTTTTATACCAGGTGATGCTGCTTTAAAAAGACCGCCTTTCTAACTTCTTTAGATTAATTATATATTTTACGAAAATGTTCAAACAACTTACCTTATCACGTTTTAAAGCGTTTATTGCATTAAAAAAGGCTCGGCGTTCGTAATTACTCAGTGTACGTATTTCTCTTCGGCGACGTTTGGGTGCTTGTCGCTTCAATATACGGCGAGTTTTCATCCCAAGAGAATCAAACCATTTCAAAGCGGTTTCATCTAAAGTTAGAACGGTCTTGGTCCCGAAAGTTGTATTTAGAAATGTGTGAAGACAGTCGGTTTGGATAGCATATTCGTTCGATGTTGTCATTAAGTGCTCATGTCTAGAGTAACAATCTTGTAGCAGTGGTGGAATTATATCTTCTTGTATTAGACCAAATGCAGCTGACACAAGAATAACCAAACCAATAAAATATTGTGGCATATTCTGAAAAAGAAAATTAAATCATAGTCTTGTGGCGTATTTGTTTCAGTTAAAATTAATGGTTCCTGTATTTATTTTTTATTGTTGAAATGAAATTTATTTATTTGCATCATATTCATAATCCCTGTCTACTGAACATTCCCAAGTATAAATAAAGGTGGCACGGTAATATTTACATTCCGGAGTTTAGGTTGCTCTTTTGTGTACCTTTCTTAAGTCAATGTATCTGAACACTGTGATTGGACAAACAATACAGTATCTACTAAACATACTTTTCCAAGCTGAGGGATGAATCAGGTGTAGAAAAATATGAAATAATTTTACAAACAGTTGAAAATGATTTTTTGAGATTTCTTTTTTTAATTTTGTATTCACTGCATGATAAAAGACATAAAGCACTAGTTGCACTAGATTTATAAAGATAGCAGAACAATTAAACGGTCATCATACATAAAAATTATCCAAATTTATTTCTGAATATTATAATGAAAGTACTTCAGTTTTATTGTGTAATATGTAGGTTCTTGGTCAGTGTAAGAAAGTGGTGAAAATTCTAAAAAGGCTATCATTATCCCTATGGGCCAGGAAATACTACCGTGCCACCATAAGCGTGATATAAGGTATACGTGAATGAGACAACAATTCAACGACACTGGGGTCTTTTTGTTTTATCTACAGGTCAGATTATTGCTTCAACAGTAGATGTGTATCTACCCTACATTTTTATATGTGAAGCTTTTAATGCTTCCGGTCAAGATATGGACCATTTTCTGTATTATTTTTTAGTCAATCATTCATATCTTTAACGAAACGTTTTGTTTTATTGTGAAAATTGAAGAAGACATGAAAGAGGAATGTAGTAACAAACGATTAAGAAATATTCAATTGCTAGTATGTATAAGCATTAATACGATGATAATAGGCAGTGTAGAATATGGATGTTATGAAGACATACGCTAAGCTTGAACGTCACATCAGTAGAGACCCACAAAAATATTTACAGTAAATCTAAGATAAACTTACAAACAGCATGCTGCATTCTGAATCCCCACACACTATTCGGAAGAAATGATAAAAGAGAGTGGTTTACCTGTAATTAATGGTATTGTTTATAACAACATCTTTAGTGTTACAGTAAAACAAGTGCTAATAAATTACACATCTTAGAACATGGTTTAAGATAAATTAAATGTTACAAAAAGGGGAATTTATTTTCAAACTTTTCAAAACTTCACCTTATAAAGTGTCAAAATGTTATATTAGATAGTGTTAATGTGTATGTTGTTTTAAGAACAGTATTTTTCTAGCAGCAACTAATTATATAAATCAACCTGACATAAACTCGTCATCAACACAAGGATGTCCGGCCTAGTACATGGTGAACATACCACATTTACTTGTAAGGTTCATGGTACATGTTGCTTTTTTTCAAAACTTTTTATTATGTCCATACCTGTGGTGGATTTAGTTCCGGAGAGTATCACCAGCCAAGCTACAATGTACATTTTGTACAACCGAGTGCATAGGAACTGGCATGAAAATACGGATATTGTTTTATTAAAATTTGTGGTTATAAAACTCTTTTAAAACTAATAAATCGTGTATCTCCCTCTGGTTACTTGTTCGGGTTTGGCTATATTCATGGTCTTTTTTTATTAAATCAGTTCCTCGCTGTTTGTATGAGGTTTTGGATTTTCAAATATTTTGACGTCAAGCACCTCTGAAGAGACTTTAATTGTCAAAATGCACATCTGCTGCAGTAAGTTGTATCATAAATTTTTTACTATTTTCCATTTGAGTAAAATATTTATTAACCCAATTAACAGTTTAATAATGTAATTAATTATAATCTTAATTATTCATAGCCCCAGATCCGAAATGGTACTTTGAAATGCAGATTATATGAACGTTATACTGAAATCTTATTAATGGCTAGTTGGTGTAATAGAATATACATATTCATTTATGAAAAGAAAAAAATGTACATGTATATGTTTGGCTTACATGTAGGAATATTCATAAAAAATCTAAAATATTCCAAAAGTAGCAAGATAGTCAAGATAGTCAGTAATTACATTTTGGAAATGTCACAGTTTTCTTTTTTTTTATTTGGAACTGTCCGTATGACTATAATTATAGATTTACTAAATTGTTATCTCTTTCCCTCTTTTTTGACTTCACCGAATGAGACTTATCACCGAATTTGAACTTACCATGAGCTACACGACGGGTGTCACATGTGTAACATAATCTGCTTAACCTTCCAAATCACCCAGAACACCTCGGGTTTTATTGGTATTCGTGTTGCTCAGTATTTAGTTTTCTATGTAATGTTTTGTGAACTTTTGTTTTTGCTTTCGTCGTTTTCGTTGTTTTTTTTTAGTCATGGCGTTGTTGATGTTCGTTGTTTTGTTTTAGTCATGGTGTTGTTGATGTTCGTTGTTTTGTTTAAGTCATGGCGTTGTTGATGTTCGTTGTTTTGTTTTAGTCATGGCGTTGTTGGTGTTACTTTGTCTTGTGATTCATGTCTGTTGTACTTTTGATATCTTCTGTACCTTTTTTTTAAGTACATTTACACATTTTGTACATGAATTTTTACTACGAAAAAAAAACATGTCGGGAATTCTGAAAATAGATGTCTATTTTGCATGAGCATTTGTTGAGAACTTGCTGTCTCACATCTCTTTCGTTGATATGAACATAACATTTTACATTCTCAACCCCCAATTTTATACCTACCTCATTTGAAACAAAAATAAAACTAGATCATTATGTTTTTCCAATGACATTGACAATTGAATCGGAAAAACCGAATATGTAGATCAGTGAAAATTTTCGCTTGAAAATATAAATCTTTTTATATACGTTACGTAATTGACTTGAACAATATTCATGTATTACATCATATAAAATTTACCTAATATTCTGTAATCGTGTATTATTTGTATATAAAATATTAGTCTAAGATATAAAAGGTTTGTCTTTTGGAGTGAATGAACTTTGTAAAGCAAATATAGTCAAAAGGAGCAGCTGTTTTGTATATTTATCATGCAGACTTTGGTTTTAAATCATTATAAATCTGAAATAACCAAATTTTGACAACATGTAATTAAACAATGTCACGAATGTGCGAAATAGGGGAAAAATCATTTCGAGGTTAACATACGCGTTCTTCAACAGTTGACAAGTCTCCTACCGTTACCTACGGTAGGGTTTCGCTAATGGTTGAAGACCGTACGGTGATCAGTATTTCTTCACATCCTTGTATCTTGATCTTTAATGGATAGATGTCTCATTGATCATCATGGTCACATTTCGTTATTTTTATCTATAATATAATTTTAAACAATAACTATCGAAGTTATGCCATCAACGCCAATTCACTGTAAAAGGACAAAACATTAAGGCACAACTAAAAGACAACCACTGATTAAGATAGGGACATGCACAGGTCTTCGGTTGAAATTCAAGCAATCAACCCTCTCCATTTTTAATCTCTATTAGTGGAATTAAAAACCTGAATAGAATAAAACTGAGAACGGGAATGGGGAATGTGTCAAAGAGACAACAACCCGACCAAAGAGCAGAAAACAGCCCAAGGCCACCAATGGGTCTTCAACAAGAACGTTCAATACATACCAGTTTATAAAACACACATTAACTTAATAACAATTTATTAGATAATACAAATACAAGAAAAAAATTAATACCGAATAAAAAAAATGCTTGCAGTTACTCAAACTCAAAGCGAGTTCAAGCAATCTGATTAATATCATTATCTGTCGTAACTCGCATATTTATCTTTTGAAGAACTTAACCTGCAATAGATATGAAGTGATACCGTGTACTCTGTGATATCGGCGACTATTCCTCAGAGCAGATTACAAACAGAAACGTCACGAACACTATGGAAAGACTTGATTTTTTGACATTCTAAGAATATTGGTTTGCATATGAATCACACAAAATCCTAGACGCACTGACTGGTTTTTTTTCTGTACAGTAATAATCTAACAATATAAGGGAGGAATTTAATATCATGTGGCTTAAAACCAGAACCGATAACATAAATTGATCTATCATACGATTAGTTTGCCTTCATTAGGAACTCTCAAACTCCAAAATTTGAAAGCCCCTTAAGGATAAATAAATACTTGAATAATAACCAAAAAGGACCCACTTTTTAGATAGAATTTATCAGTAATTCTTAAAGCCCCAACAATATAGTGCAAGAGTAATAGATGTAACATTAATCCCAGGGGCGGATCCAGCCATTTTCAAAAGGGGGGTGGTTCCCAACCCAGGATAAAGGGGGGGTTCCAACTATATGTCCCCATTCAAATGCATTGATCGTCAAAAAAGGGGGGATTCCAACCCCCGTAACCCCCCCCCCCCCTGGATCCGCCACTGAATCCCATTACCTGTTGATGAAGCACAGCAATAGCAAAACATAAGTTTTAAGATTTGTGATAGTTAGTCATCATATTTAATAACCGGATTAATAAGAATATCAAATTAATTTCTGAAAGTTTGCATCAATTTGATAATGCTTCCCATAAAAAATTTTCATCCAACATAGAAAATAGAAAAGGACTACCCTGCCAATTTTACAAAAGTGGAAACATTTCATTATAAATAAGACGTTTTTACTCATACATTATATACGTCTCCGAAACATCATATTAAGCTGCCAATTGTACAACGAATAAAGTCTTATAGAACTTCCTACAACCGACACTTACAAACTGGCCTAATCTTTCAAAAGATGTTTAAAAAAAGTGCAGATTAATTATACTTTCATTCCAGTACAACCTCCCACTGAAAATTTTCTAGCATAAAAAAATATTTAAAGGGGAGGGGGGGTAATATAACTCAAAGAGCAAGCTATAAAGTTTAACTCCGCCAAGTGTTAATGTTCCTGTCCTTAGTCAGGAACTGCGTCAGTTGTGTCTGTTAATTCATTTGTCTAGACTTGGGGAGGGGGAGGGAGGGGGGGCAATTTTGAGCTTGACATATGGAACAGACGTCCTCGGAATAAAACCTCTTTCTATTCTAGATGACTATCATACTAGTATTGTATTGTTCGGTTGCTGTCTCATGGACTTCTATCCCAAATCTTCGTATATATTGAGATTGTTTTTTATTTCATTTCTTTTCATTGTTACGATAATTATTTAAAACACTTACAAAAATCCTTTGAAACAAGTTCTCATCAATTTTGTTTTGTATGATTCAGATTAAATAATGCTTAGTCTTTCAAAAGGACAAAAGAAATGACAAATTGCGTTACGTTATATTTCCACGTAAATTTATTTTGTATAAAATAAAAAAAGTTCTGTACTAAATTGTTTTTACCAAATTGTCGCAGAATATTTTTCTAGTGTTTTGTATAATGATATCTAAAATAAAACATGACATAGAGTTATCAAAAACCGCATGATATGATTTCTGTTCGTGTTTCTGTGAGATAAATCATGCATGTTATTAAGTACGACTTAATACAATGGGCTTGACAAAGTTTTCAACCATTTTGTGGCCATGTCTTTTGTTATATCTACAGTACACTTTAGGAGTTGTAAGTGATTGCATGCGACAAGAATATGTCCATGCACGCCTCTGCATTATCAATCACTTACAACTCCTAAAGTGTACTGTAAATGTTTTGTGTCATATACATATTCATGAACTTTTTCACGCGGTCCAAAGCCTTTCCTCAAGTGAACATATTGAAGGTAAAATGTATACAGATCTAAAATAATTTCACAAACCAAAATTGAAATAAATAATAAATATGAATAAATCAAGGATTTCCATAAATGTAAATGGGTATTTAAGTGTGACAATTTCTACAATAGACACGTGTGGTAAGGAAACGACTATTTGACTCTCTGGGGAAAGGGAAGGGGGCAGGAAGATTTTTTTACCGACAATATTTCCCATTTCAACAGATGCTAGGCCGTTTTTCCTTGGAACAGTTATGATCTGTTCAATATGCATGAAACTTTCGTCACTTGATGTTTCGCAGACAGTTGTGTTAAACATAAATTTTATTGTTAAATTATGTTAATATAATAAAATTATGATATTTATATTTTCCAGAAAGTGCATTAATAATTTTATTTTGGATTTGTGATAGTACAAATGATAAGGCATACAAAATATCTACATGCATGCTATGTTATTAATAGCGAGTGATAAACGAAGGAACATATCTAACGTCTATCACACTGTCATATTTTCTAGAAAGTGCATAAATCATTTCATTTTAAATAAATCATGCAAAATATCTACAAGACAGTATAAAATGTTATGAAATGGTGAGTGATTAATGAATGATGGTATTTAACGTCTACATCTATCACAATGTCAGAATTCAAACAATACAAAGTTAGCAAATCATGATATGTGTGGTTTTATATTTATACAAGAATTAAATCAGCACTTTAAAGTTGAGTTACTGTTAGTAGTTTAATCACAGAAAGTCTGCACATCCAAGCATACAGCTTTAAAATGGAACTTTCACCAGGAATTGAGAGAGACTTGAAAAATTAGTCAATATGATCATGAAAAAAAGATGTACTAGATACATGTATGATCCGATAGAATAACACTTTTATTAGTGGAAAATGTCTATGATTTATTCATCGTCTATGTGTTTAGGTCTCCCTCCCCTCCCATTGCTCTGTACCAACTGATATGGCATATTTGTTTTTCAAACAGGGAACTCCCGAACTCTAATTACTTTGTGTTCATAGTATTGTTCCTATTTTGTCAGAATTACGCTCACTAAAGGAAGTACATGACTTTTTTTGTACATGTAAACATCCATGTCCTGTTGTCAGAGGCGGATTTAGGGGGGCAGGGGGCCTGGGCCCCCCTTTTGTGGGAAAAATTTGGTTGAGTATGTATGGAATCACTGAAGCATGACTGGAGCGGGCCCCCGCTTAGGCAGTCAGTGGGTCCCCACTTATGAAAATTTCTGGATCCGCCACTGGTTGTCTCATTGACAATCCCATCATATCTCCTCACTTTTACATGTATACATAAGCAGCGTATTGTATGTCTTATGTGAAAATTAAGTGTGTGCTCATATTCACTCATGAACAAGTTTTTGCACATTTTTCCCTATAATTCATATACAAGCTTATATAAGCATAGGCTTGCATTGTATCGCATCTCACAACGTTTCTTTGTCGTTGTATTTATTTATTCATTAAGGGTTGTATATTATTTTATCCATTTATTCACCCCTGTGGTTGACTGGGCACGCAAAATATGCTAGACTTCTTCCATCTCAGTAAGACTCGTGTTGAGGACCCGTCCTTTTTGTACTGTTGAATATACGAGTATACAACCATGTCCTATAGGAAGTGGAGGTTAACCTTGAAACCTCGTGTTGGGAAAATATCATGCCCTATTGAAATTAGACAGCATTGCAACAACTATTCTTGAGTTCCATGAGAAACTTATTGCAACATACATTTTTTTCCCTAATTATGGTCCAAATGCCGCGCCTTCTATCCCGCTCAAACCATTTTGCAAAATCTGCTTACATGTATTTTACGAATGATTTATTGTTCAATTTGACCGCGTCCTCAATATGCATTAAATAGTTGCCTTTGAACATTAAGTAAAAAGGACCATTTCGTAGTATAAAGGGAAATAAGTATACGCAGGTCTTAAGATTATGTTTCGAACAGCAAATATCACCCCAGTTTAATTGCCGAGTTAAACAATAATGATTAATCAATTAATAAATTAAACTCCCGTATGCGGCATATCACATTTTTAAACAAGAAAGCATTTATCGTTTCTCCCATTAAAAGCTGTTTTATGGATGTTAACACTTATCGTATGTATAAATCGCAAATACAGGCACAAAGGGGAATTTCATATATACTCTGCATTATTGAATTACATTCAGCCATGCAAAATTTACCCTTACTGATTGTGATATTCCTTTATGAGCTCGTTTATTTACATTTCATTGACTGGTGAAAGTTCCATTTCACCACAAAGCTGTATACCTGTATCATGACATTTTATGTTGTTGTAGGATCAACTCTACATCCACTTAAACACAACGAAGGGTCGTCTCTCGTTGCATTGGATATCTGATTATGGTGATCAAATCCACATTTACCATCAACACGTATCTCCTTTAACTTGTCTTCATGATTATTTGCTTCTTGTTCTAATTGTAAAAAAAAAACAAAAACAAAAACATTATACTATTGAAAATTCACAAATTATATGGCAACCTTGAAGGCTGAAGACGTTATTTAGAAAGCTATATGGAGCATATATTTTGTTATTCAAGGTACTCAAGATCAGAGAATTTCCAGGACAATCCTCTCTTTGTTTATATCTTCAATATTCCTCTCGCATTTTTAACCGGATGTGTGTCATCAAATGCGCGTTAACCCGTTTTGTATCGACCGGATTTCGCGTGGTCGCCTGTTCAAAGTGGCCGCATCCAACCGTCATATATTTTATCCAATTAACTGACACATGTATATCCAGTGAAGTGTATATCATATCTCAACTTCGAACTTTTTACTGAAAGTTTAATTTTAGTTTGTGAAGAGAACGTTTTATGAAAGACAAACATACCCAATATCGCGATTCGAGCTCGTAAAGTCTTATTATCACATTTCCAAAGCTTCAACTACTACAATTGTTCTGATATGCATGTTTGTACATGTAGTAGGTATTGTTTAAACGTTTCAAGAATAATGATTACGTACATGAGATTTGGAGTCGAGTGATTCCGATGTATCACGTTTCACGATGTTCATAATATAAAGGAGTCAAACAGCTAACGTTTAAACATTTACTTGAAAATACTTAAAACAGTTTTAAAACACTGAGGAACATTTATTTTAACTGGAGTGTATTGGTTGGAAAGAATAAAAAAAAACAAGAGTTGTCCGCATAGCGGGACTAATACCCTCCGTGGATGCATTTTAGTTGCTTGTTTCATCTATTCATTTTTTATAAGCATTCAATTTGCCTCTGTGTTAGATTGACACATGACTACTGATAGTTCAATCTATAAAAATACACTGACCCAGAAACAAAGTCTTAAGTTTTTAAACTGTTAAATCAGAAATTAACTGTCAAGGTCAAGGTCAGTTTGATGCCTCTGCATACAAAGTTTTGCCAATATATTAAGTGCTACAGTACAAAAGTTATGCACCAAACACAAATCAGACAATGTTTTACTATCATAGGGTCAAATGCAAGGTCAAAGCAACCTGACTTTGGTATATGACCCCTCCCCTATCATATGATGTATCAGCATACCAAGTTTGGGCAAACTTAGTTATATGCTACAAAAGTTATAAGCAGGACACAAATCAGACAAGGTTTAAATATCATAGGGGTCAAAGGTCAGAGTGACCTGACTTTGGTTTATGAGACACCCAAGCCCAGACAGACAGACAAACAGACAGACATGGTGATTTATAGATACCCCTCCAAACTGTGTTAGCGGGGTATATAAAATGCATGTGTGATAACCCATTTTGGTTTTTTAGCAGCCCCTTTTCATGTGATTCATTTTAGTTCCAGAAATTGACTCTTACAGAATTGTAGCTATTATGAAAACATCTTAAAAAAATACCTTTAAGAAACATTTGTTGATGCAATTTAATGCAAGCAAACGGGCATGTTTTATACGCCATATATTTGCCAGATGCATATATGCTATGTAGTAAGTCTAGACTTTAAACTTGCCTTACCTTTTTGATCACACATTAACGGTTGTTTCATATTCATCTCAAGGTTTTCATCCACAACAGGAATTACTTTTCCTTTTTCATTTTGAATGGCATATATCTTCTGAATAAAGTCAGGCAACAATTGGAACTTGCAGAGAAGACAAAATGCTAGGCCAGTCACTATTATGCATATTAAAATCGTTTCAATCAGAAAATGGTGCTCTTCTTGCAATGTGAACCCATCTGAAAAGTCCAATTAATATTGTACATACATGTAGGACTCCACAGGGTGATTCAAATGCCCTGTACAGGCTGGTAAATACAAGAGATTTAAATCTCAAAATAGTTTATATTTCACAAATTCTGCTTTTTTGACATAAGGAAGTCTTAGACTTGGGTTTTAAAATGAATTTAAGGCCAAAATTATCGACATTCGCTACAAAAGTCAATTTTATGATAGTTTTTCACAAAAGATACACGAAAGGCTTCAAAGAATCTCTCATCTGACATTTTAATTCAATGCTATAAGAATATTTGTGTTGAATGGTAATTTCTGACCTGTTGAACAGTTTAATTGATAAAACATATTGCAACTTGGTCAGAATTTTGAATGAATTGCAATAGATACGTAGGAACACTTACAATCAAGTCACAGTAAATAGATGTCAGTTTATTGTACTACAGGATTACTAACCTGAAGCCGAGCAGTTCTGTATTGTTCTGTCAGTTTCTGAAATATTTTTCTTCAACCAGTCTGCAATTAAATAGTTCTTACAATAAAAACAATTATTATAACAATTGCAGTCGAAAAAGTTTGATTGTGCTTCCATATTGTTTTAATATAAAAGAACTTTTTAAATTTCAGTCCTGAAAAGTTTCATACATCTATCAACAATTTGATTTGACTAAGCTTCTAATTATTTCAAAGAGCTGCAGATTTTTATTCTATTTGTCATACATGTGCATTGCTGTCTTCGTTGTGACGATTGATTTGGAGTACAAATATTCAATACGAATAAAATTGAATACCTTGATTTGTGTTGGATGTTGTTACAGAAGATAACAAGCGAATGATAAACCACACAGTAATAATAAGAGGGAACAGAAAAAATCATCCAACTAAATCGACCTTAATGCTATTTTTTCTAAATATGAACAGCTATAGTAGATTAAAAACTCAAAACTAAGCAAGTCGGTAAGCCTGGCATTTTCAAAGTGAAAAAAAGAACTGTCACGAGCAGACATATGTAAACTTTTTACAAGAGGTAGTGGTAGAATCTATGCGTATATATATGTAATTTGCTAAATTTAATTGCGTACCCAAACAATACTCGGAACAGTTTGAAATGTGTCTGTTGTTTTTAAAACAATCCTCTGTAAAGTCCAGACAACTTCTACACCTCAGAGACTGACCCTCGCAAAATTGCAAACCTTGTTGGCACATGTCCGAAAAACATGAAAATGATACCATTTTATCGTCGTCTATATAGTTTTATCTCTAAAATCTGCATAAAAAAAATTTAATATGTACTATAGAAAATGTAACAGGTTAACGTATTCGGTATGATTGGTTGCTTGCATGATAAAACTTTGCCTTCACAAGCTGATTGTTTTTTTAATTATTTGCTGATTTAAATTTATGAAGCAATGTATGTGTATATAGAATAAGGAGATACATCATATTCTAATCTAAACTGATTTGTTTTTTTTTTATTTCGGGTACTACATGAATTCTGCATTTATGGAGACTACTTTAACAGGTGCCACGTTATCATTTTGTTAATTTTTTTATTGTTTTTAACAATCTCCAATTTAATTAGACCTTACGCCCCCACATAACTAATATGGGATACTAGTATTTCAAAAAGCACCCCTACCAATACAAATATCCCCCATTTCAGATTTTGATGAGTGGGAGGGCGCGGGAAATTTTTACGAAAAATTCAAAACTATACTTGGGGACATTTTAGCACTGACATTAAAGCCCATTTTAACGCCAGTTCAATCCGTTCACCTGTATTTGCAACAGTCCATTTTAGCGAAAAACGTACTTCGCCATACTGACACCGTGAACAGTAATTTGCGCTGGTTTAATTTTAAAGTTGCATGGATATACACATTTTTGAAACACACCAAGGAAAGACAAGTGCAATATAGATGACGATTATCATTCTTGGAAAGACAAAGTTGTGAAAGGTCAGCATATAGCACGGATATGATCGATAACAATATTACCAGATTACACAAAAATATTGTAATGCATGACATAATTCGTTCATTTAAGTTATCTTTTCAACAGTAGAGTTGTCTTTATTCCTGGCTACAGTTGAGTCCACAAACGGAACTACAATAGTGGATGATTGATTTTATTCCATATTTACTTTCAGTGCTGCATTCTATTGGACAGACATTTTTACATTGTGCCTACTTGATATTAAATTTAATTATTTTACTATATGTAATGTTATGAAGAATGAAACAATATTAAAGATTAATTTATGTCGCTTAAATGGGCTAAAAATCTGGCGCTAAAATGGGTTATACTTTATTGCTATACAGAAATGTCCTATGATATCTATTGGCTAAAATTTCCTGTGCCGGAGTACCTTAATACGAATTTTAAGAGGATCTGATAAAAAATAATGCTATCCCAGCAACAAGAAATCATATGGAATATTTTTCTACAAGTGCCCTCCAGAATAATGACCCCCCCCCATTTCTGATTTTCCTGATAGTCGAAGTCATTCGAGGTATTGAGATGAAATTGAAGAGGATCTGATAGAAAAATAAAGTGCCTAGTTCCGGAGACAAGAAAAAAAGTAATATAGAGTATTTTACAAGCCCCCCTCCCTCCCGCTCCATTTTTTATTATTGAACTCATGCGAGGTAATTGAGTAGTGGAAACTTTAAAATATACAAATTTAAAGTGATCCAGACAAACAAAATAGAACCCTATCCTGACGACAAGTGATTACGACCGTGACAAAAAAAACATCATGTACCCTCAGCAACTTTGGGCATGATAAGGATAAAAATACATGTACATGTGTGTATGCGTGCATTTGATAACCAATTTTTATAAGATATATTATATACAACGCGAATACAAAAGGACACCGACTCGAGCTATTTACAGCTTGACACAAAGTTTAAACTTCTTCATTAAACATAATAAAAGTATGTCGACATGTTAATACGTTTGTCTTGTTTTGTTTATTGGTTTTGTATGTTGTTTTTTAGGGGGAGTGGGGGTGCTGATGTGATCCTGTCGTATTGACGTTCACCCAAAATCATCTATCATTGGTAATCATAGTGTTTATCTAAAAATAATTAAAATTGGAATTAATAGTCGTTATAAATAGTAACGTCGTTAAATTCTTTAAATAGTAAATGCATATGAAAGTCCCTTTCCTAAATTTAGGACTATACCTTGGATTTTCACAGGTGTATAAATTGATTATTGACGTCAGTATATATTATAGTTATTTTAACAGCAAATGTAACTGTAATGTAAATAAAATAAATAAACAATTCACTAATTCATTAATGGAAATTAAAAAAAAGTATTCAATGTATTCAGCGTAATAACAGATGAAAGTGGTCATTCAAATTTTCTTTATCGTATTTGTAAGTAATGGAATGTATGTACCTTTAACAATAACAAATATACGAACTATATACTATTTTAACATTTGTGCAGGTTATTTATAAAATAATGAAACAGTGAATTAATTTATAATTAATAAAACTGCATTTTATACTTACGATGTTGACTTCTTGGAGCTACGAACTCTGAATAGTAAATGAACCTTTTGTATATTACGTAAGACTTAGTCTTGAAGTAAACTCAAATCAAATTGTTACACGTCTACTCGAATAAATTTGGTACTGTGCCAAAATCAATGAAAATCTTATTAAAAAAATAGAGAATCTTGTGACTCATATACGCTTTTAGTACTGTACTGTTTATTCGTTCTGTCACTAATATACATTAGTGGTCGAAGTCAAATATAGCTGCTGTATATTCGACGTTCTGGATAACATACACAACTAAAGATGAACCAAAATCGCTGTAAATACATTTGATAGAGTAGCTGTATAATTCATAGAATTGGGAACCCCCCCCCCAAAAAAAAAATAATAATAAAATAAAAAAACATAAAAAAAAATTAAAAAAAATAATTTAAAAATTAAAATGGTTAAACCATGCAAGAATAGCATTACCTACGGAGCCCCTTAAGTGCCAAAGATGAAATTTAAATTATTTGTGCGCACGACTTTAAATCTTGTGCGCACAACTTTAAATTTGGTCGCACAACTTTTAAACTTATGCGGACAACTATTTTAAACTTGTGCGCGAAACTTTTTTAAACTTGTGCGCACAACTTTTAAACTTGTGTGCACAACTTTTAAACTTGTGCGCACAACTTTAGTAAACTTGTGCGCACAACATTTAATCTTGTGCGCACATCTTTTAAAATTATGCGCACAACTTTGAAACTTGAACGTACGACTTTTTAAACTGTCCACAGAACTGTCAGTCATATATGTCTATAAACTTGCTTGCATTTGCCAGTTAATCAAACAAGGATGGACCTGATTTTACGTATTTCATTTGGGAATAAACCATAAGGATATACTGTATTTTCTGGCATTGAAGCTAATTCGAATATTCTAGATGTTGGTCGAAGGACCATGTGAGCTATTGTCATCAATAAGCGTCCGTCGTCCGCCCGTCCACAATTCACAGTTTTATTTTCTCCTCTGAAACCACTGGGTCAATTCGGACCAAACTTGGCAGGGATCGGATCCTTGGTAAGAGGGGATTCGTGTTTTTTTTCTCAAGTGGTGGTCAATAGGTCCATGGGGACTAAGAACTTGGGGTCGAAAGTTTTAATATAGGCTTCAAATAGGGAAAGCTTTAAAAATCTTCTTAAGAACCAGCAGTAGCAAGGCAGTCATATTGTCTGACTCATCAGAAGTACATGATGTTTCAAGTTTGTATAAATGAAGGTCCGGGGGTCAATGGGATCCGAACAACAATTGGGGTCCATAGTTAGCTTTAATTTGAAAATGCTTTAAAAATCTTGTTCTTATGAATCAACAGTAGCAATGCAGTCATATTTTGCATGAAACATCAAAAGGATATGAAGATTCAATTTTGAACAAATGAATGAGTAGGGGTCCATTCGGTACGAGTACTTAATGCTCTAAGTTTAACACAGATATACCAATTCAAAGATTGTATTGTTTAAATATTCAAACAAAGGGATTGGATAAAGACTCAGCCTTTATAAATCCTTTCCCAAAACACAAGATATACATGTACATGTATATATAAATCTTTAGAATAAGCGACGACAAGGCAGTCATATTCTGCATAAAGCAAAGGAGAGAGATATGAATATTCAAGTTCGTACAAATGAATGTGAGAGTGTCCTTTGTATGCTAGCTCTCCAGGAGTCCAAAGTTGAATATCTATAGGCTTAAATGGGAAAAGATTTTAAAATATTTTCACACGAACCAGCATTGATGAGGCAGTCATGTTTTGCACGAAGCATGAATAGTACATAAAGATTCAAATTTATATAAATCAATGCCCAGTGATCTTTTGGTACCAGCATTTATGAGGACAAAGCTTAGAATAATCTTCAATGTACAAAAGCTTTAAAAATATTCTTTCGAACCAACAATGATAATGCAGTCATATCTTGAATGAAGCACAAGTAGGAGATGAAGGTCTAGGATCCAAGCAGTGGAAGTCCGAAGATTGAAATAAGCTCTAATTGGAAAAAAGCTATTAAAATCCTCTCTAGAACCAGCAATGACATGGCAGTTGTATTTTGCATTAAGCATTACAGCCAGAGTCATTTCTTTAACTTTTTCCTTTGAAGTTGTAAAATATTAATTTATCGAAACTGATTTAATCAAAATATTTTATAATGATCAAAAGCCTTCGACCTCGACCTGAAATATTAATGCCATCAATTACTTATCAATTATGGACTTTTGACGAGGTCAATTCGTTGTTATACGAACCTGTTGAAGCTATATCGACAAAGAACGTAGTCCGAGGTTGATATTTTGGTTCAGCAGGTCCATATAACAACGTTTTGGTCTAGATAAAAGTCCTTAATTTTTATTTTACATATGTTAGAATAATTTAATTTTGGATGTAACACGTCTTCTGATTGGCTGAAAGTGTTTTGTCTATCAGCTCATAGACATAATTTTGTCATGTGACCGTGACGTAATCAACGTTTTTCTCATGATTTACTCCTTTTTAGAATTAAATTATAAGGAATGACTGTAATATTTTTTCTGTCTATTCGAAACAACCTAAAAAAAAGTGGTGCACCACATTTCTTATGTTATTTCTTCATAGACAGAAAAATATTACAGTCATTCCTTAAATATATAATAAGCATAAGATGTCTGTGACGTTCTCTTACTGGCATATACGGGGTATTGTATGAAGAAGGCCAGTAAGTGAACATTATCATCTACGATGCTGAAATACGAAATAAATAAGAAAGTTTTGCGACTGATACAATTATTATGTCGGCTTGATAAGTACTGAAATTCAGAAATCAATGCATGCATTTATTTTTGCGATTCCTTGATAACTGTCCAAAATATGAGTTTAATATTTTTATTGCGATTTCAGTAAATATTATATAATATAGTTACTGATAAAACAAAATGAGAGTTTTTATTAATGCGACGAACATCCTGTTGCATTATTCGCATTAATAAAATCATCGCAACAATTTCTGAATTTGCAGTACTTCATCAGTATTTGCGTCCTGAACTTCTAGCATTCATCGTTAATATTTGGTTTGCTTGTCTTTCGGTACTGTCACTTGATGTTTAAGTACTTTTGGACGAATAATAAACTAGTTTCCACCAGTTGTGATAGATCAAATCTTCTACTGTATGAACAATTTAGTCATAAGTGCACTTTTGTAGCTCTTGACAACAGTTTTTACAGTAAAATTCCAAAAATGAAAAAAAATATTTTTTGATCTGCAGACAAACATGTATCTATCAAAACTTCAATTTGGTAATTAAATGATATCCATTGCCCAAACATCATCAATAAGAAACGGTTAAGTTCTGTTCCATATGAGGGATAATTTTCGTAACTCTTTGGTACTTCCAAAAGTCTCCCACTCATTGTGTGGGCAATAAATCGTAGAGCCAGACCATCTTGTGAAACAAACTGAATGGAAATATCTGCCTGGTCTTTCAACATTAAGTCAGACGCTGTACAAAAACATAAAAACAAATTCAATTTGGACTGATCTTTTTCTTTAATGCATTTTCTCAAGTACTGCATGGCATCTCTATCAGCAGAAGAAAGGTTTTCAAGAAAGATAAGGCTCCCCAAAACGTGTTTAACAGTAGTTTGTAAAGTATTGTAAAGCTGTTGTTATTTCGTTGGATCGATCAAGGTCCGGACAATGTACTTTGGTTGCTGAAATTGTCAGGTGTTCCTCTTTCTACAAGAGTGGGTATCTAGAAAATCTGAAAGGTTTATTGTGTTGACCCCTGCAAAGTTTTCCAAAGCACATAACACAGTTTCATTCTCACATGGAGACATGTACTAAAAAGATATCCGTAATATCCGATTTTAGCTCACCAAACATTGCTTCTCTAAATACAACTCAGTCTGGTGCAATTAAAACATTAAAGATTTAAAGTTGTGTGCACAAGATTAAAAGTTGTGCGCACAAGATTAAAAGTTGTGCGCACAAGATTAAAAAAGTTGTGCGCACAAGTTTAAAAAAGTTCAGGTCCATCCTTGTTTGATTAACTGGCAAATGCAAGCAAGTTTATAGACATATATGACTGACAGTTCTGTGGACAGTTTAAAAAGTCGTACGTTCAAGTTTCAAAGTTGTGCGCATAATTTTAAAAGATGTGCGCACAAGATTAAATGTTGTGCGCACAAGTTTACTAAAGTTGTGCGCACAAGTTTAAAAGTTGTGCACACAAATTTAAAAGTTGTGCATAGATTTCCATTACGTAACTTTCGTGTTGGGATTGTTACCGATCTATAAACATGATAAATACGCGGACATTATCTAGTGCAAAATAACATTCCTTATCGCTTGTTATAAATTCATTTTTTTTCAATGGATACTCCTAAAAATATTTTTTTTAAAACATAAATAAATAATATGAAAATGTTTTGTCGTTAGAAATATATATATATAAGTAAACAATCTTTAATATCTATGCACACGTACAGAAAATGCGTGTTAACGCATGCGGAAGAATATCTCAAGAACGTTTGCAATCTCCCAAGCAAAGTTATCGGTCCTCGCTCTCTCTCAAGGACCCGGACTTCTTTTAAACAGAGTTTTACTGTGCGTATTGCTATGTGTCTTTTTTCTACATTGACTAGAGGTATAGGGGGAGGGTTGAGATCTCACAAAACATGTTTAACCCCGCCGCATTTTTGCGCCTGTCCCAAGTCAGGAGCCTCTGGTCTTTGTTAGTCTTGTATGGTTTTTTTAATTTTAGTTCATGTATATGTTTTGAAGTTTAGTGTGACGTCCATTTTCACTGAACTAGCACACAATTTTATTTAGGGGTCAGCTGAGGACCACCTCCGGATGCGGGATTTTCTCGCTGCATTGAAGACCCATTGGTGGCCTTCGGCTGTTGTCTACTCTTTGGTCGGGTTGTTGTCTCTTTGTCATATTCCCCATTTCCATTCTCAATTTTATGATATTCGCTTTGATTTTCACTAATCAGTGTTATAACCCTAATTCGTCGTGTACAGGAGTTCCTATTGTTCATAAAACTCCTTGTTGAAACAGTTACAAATAATGATTACTTTAACTATTTACAACAAAGTAAGTATAATGTCTATCATCTACACGTGATTCCATATGTATCATGCTTTGAGTCTACGTTCAGTTATGCATGTTGACAATTTTTTATTTTTTTTTGGAATTTACACACCTCCACCAGCTTGAATCTGTTTATCAAACTATTTAATATAATCTGCTGTAAAATTATCATTGATTGTACTAACATGTACATTGTATGGATTTTTTTTTAGCACAGACCATTTGAAAAATTACATTTTTAAAACGTATAGGCCTCTTTTCTTTACTACATAAAGATGAAGAATACACAGACTGCAACTATTGCTAACACGCCTAATTAAATGATTTTTGGTTGACAATAGTAACTGTTTCTCAACTAATATCCCAAATGATGCACTATGTAATGGAATCTTATTCGGCTTAATATATCCATCCTAGTATTAAACCCGGTCTATTTTGGTTTCATCAACGACCTTACAGACATACTTGACACCAGGAATAGACACAATTACTGAAGG